CTGCCCCTCATGGATCTAGGAGAAGGATCCAGCTAGGAGGTGAGGATCTCCTAGAGGATTGTGAGGCCTCCCCTAGTAGTAGAATACCCAGCCCCTGGCTGTATCTCTGTCACCCCTTTCCCTGACCATCTCTGAGAGCTGAGGGTCCTACCTCTGGCTCCTCCCTTGAGGTGTGGCTGAGAAATCAGCCTGGGGACACCGCAGAGGGCCTTTTGCACTGGTCCTGGCCTCTGTTCCACGCTCTTCTTGCCATCCCTAGGGCTCGGGCCATCAAGTACCGGCAAGAGAACCAGGAGGCGGTGGGCGGCTTCTTCTCGCAGATAGGAGAGCTCTACGTTGTCCATCATCTCTGGGGTAGGCTGGGGACCCTCCAGGGCCCCTCTGCTAGTCCCCTTTCCCCACTGTCACTCTTTATAGATAGTGCGAATGCATTAGTGCCCTTTTGGAGTTTACATTCTATCAGGGAGAGATACTACCTCCGACATAAACTAACACAAAAACATTATTTCCAATTATTACAAATAATAAAGAGGCAGGGAAAAATGATAAAGAAACACATGGGAATGGCTTGGATAGACAAAGAAGGCCTCTCTGAGGAGGTAAAATGTTAACTAAGCTAAAGGATGAGAAAGAGCCAGCTTGTGAATTGCCAGGGAAGGGCATTCTAAGTAGAGGGTACAACATGTGCAAAGGTCCTGCGGTGGGGAAAAGGCCTTTGAAGAGTGCAGAGGAGGCCAGTGTGAAGAGCGTGTGGAGAGAGGGACATACCAGATCAGGCTGGGCCTTGCAGGCTGTGGGATTGGGATTTATCCTGAATGCAGCGGGAGACTGATGCAGCATTTTAAGCAGCATGACATGACCTGATTTGTGTTCCAGTAGGATTCCTCAGGTTGCCATGTGCTTTGCCGAGGGTGCTTTGTAGGGGAGCAAGAGAGGAAGTGAGGCATCAGGAGATGGTTAAACTAGTTCAGGCAGATGAGTTCAGGAGGATTGTAGCCTGGCCTAACGTGGTGGCAAGTGAGGATGCTGAAAAGGCCACAGATAGAGTCATTAGTCTGGAGGTGGAGCCAGTGGGCCTTGTGGCTGAATTGTCTGTGTGGCGTGAGGCAGGGAGAGGAGAACTCCAGATTCTTGCTTGAGCAGCTGTGTGTCTCTTACTGAGACCCCAGACGGAGCAGGTTGAAGGGGTCAGGAGTGTAATTTTGGCCCTTGGAAATGTTGCATTTGAGATGCTGACACATCCGAGTGGAGACATGAAGTGGGCACTGGATACATGGGTGTGGAGTCTGAGGGAGAGTTCTGGGCTGGAAATAGAAAGTTGGGAGTTGTCAACAAATGTACTAATGGGATGAGATTGTCAAAGCAGCCAATCTTTGCTAACAGTTCGAGACATCGGGAAGAGACAGCAGGACAGGGTTTGGGGCAATGACAGGAGGGCCCTGTGCTAGGTATAGGATCAGATCCTCTGTTCCCACGGAATGAGCCAATGCCTTTCCCACAGCCTATAAGGACCTACAGTCTCGGGAAGAGACTCGAAATGCTGCCTGGAGGAAGAGGGGCTGGGACGAAAACGTCTACTACACAGGTGAGTGCTTCCTCTAGGGGGTCAGCCTAGCCCTTGGAGGTCATCTGCCCAGAGCCCAATCTGAGGATGGAATCCCCTTTGCAAGGAGGTCAAGTCTCACTCGATTACCTCCAGTGAGTGGGATTCTGTCCTGGTGGCACACTCCACGTGATCTAAGCAGTGGGTCTTGGTGAGTGCTCCAGGCGATGAAAGCACAGATGGTCCCTATGCACTGTGACCTCAGGCGGGGTTCTTCACCACAGCGAGGCTGTTTCCTCATCTCTAAGATGGTGACAGTGATAGTGCCTCCCTCAGAGGGCTGGAAGGAAGATTCTAGGAGCTAAGTTAGGAAAAGTGCTTCACCCAGACTGGCACAGAGGAAGCACACAGCAAATTTTTTTTTTTTTTTTTTTTAAAGATTTTATTCATTTACCCGACAGAGAGAGACACAGCGAGAGAGGGAATACAAGCAGTGGGAGTGGGAAAGGGTTCAGAAGCAGGCTTCCCGCCGAGCAGGGAGCCTGACGCGGGGCTTGATCCCAGGACCTGGAATCATGACCTGAGCCGAAGGCAGACGCTCAACGACTGAGCCACCCAGGCGCCCCCACACAGCAAATTTTTTGAGGAAGTTTTTTGTTCTCTGTGTTTGCCACATTGCTGGGACCCCTGAGAACCACTTGGAGTCAACAGGTGTTGATTGAGCGAGCCCTCACTGTGTGCCAGGGACTGCAGTGGGTGGGTGGCTAGGGGCCACAGAATGAACAGGAGCCTTTCCCTCCCCTTGAGGAGCTTACAATTAAGCGTCCACACTTACCAGAAGGTGTGGGGGAGAATGCGCTTCCTGAAGGAGTTAGCGGGAGCCTCACTCTTGAAAGTGTGATATTGAATGATTGTATCAGGATCTCCTGGAAGCTCGTTAGAAATGCCAAATCTCAACTTCTGCCCCCATCTGCTGAATCAGAATCTGCACTTTAACAAGAACTGTAGGTAATTTGTACGCATAGTAATGTTTGAACATCTCTGAGCAAGAGCATAGTGGCTGACCTCCTGGGTGACCTTGGGCTGACCTCCTCTGGGCTGTAGTCTCCCTATCTGTAAAATGAATCATTTGAACTAAATCAGTGTTTTTCAAATCTTAGCCACTTGAGGACACCCTCATGGCTTTTGTCCTACCGGTATACTAGGGCTATAATTATTTTCTTGATATTTTTCTTTAAATCCCCCTACTTTCTTCTACACCTAGCTTTGTCCTAAGCGTTATTATCAATGAAGTCACTTTTTGCTGTGCTACTTATTCTTTCACATCACAGGAACATAAATATATAATTATGAAAACAAAAAAATGTTGTATGTATCTCGGCACCAGGTGCCCTCTTATGCCACAATTGGGCGCTCTCCATTCCAGGAGGGCAGCGGGGCTTCCCCTGTCTCAGCATCCCAGGCCTCCTCCTCCTTCAAAGTCCACTTTTGGGGTTGGCTTGCCTCTGCATCCTCTGTGACCTCTGCCTCTCTTTCCACAGTCCCATTGGTGCGACACATGGAGTCTCGGATCATGATCCCATTGAAGATCTCGCCTCTCCAGTGATGCTGCCTCTGCCCCCGCCTCCTTCCCCTTCTCCCTCAGGGCAGCCATGGACAGAGGAGCTCCCAGTCCTGCTGTCTTAGTTTTCTCTTGGATCTGGGAGGACTCTGGGGGCTTGTGCTCAGCTCAGAGAAGGGGAAGCTGAAGGATGACAGGGTTCTGAGGACTTGCAGCCCTGCCCAGACCCTTCCCACCTTCCCCGCTCACCCCTTCCCCTGTGCCAGAAGCAGTTTTTAATTTCTCTGAATGAAGAACAGCAGCCTTTTATGTCTTCTCACATTTCCCCCTGAGATTCCGCATCTGAAGGCCACCAGTCCCCAGTTATCAGCATGGAAGCCCTCTGTTTAGCTTTAGTTGTACTAAAAGTAGTGTGTTGAGTGGTTAGAGAGGAGGTGGGAAGGGAGATCAGACCAGGCCTGGCTCTCTGGAATTCCCTGGTCTCCACTGGGCCACCCACTTGCTGGATCGTCTGAGCCAAGTCCCTCCTGTCAGGGAAAAGCCTAAAAACTGCCTCAAGAAGAAAAGGGGAAAACCTTCAAGTTAGCACAGAGTGAGGTCCTACATATTCCACTCAGAAGGCTGGGTAAAAGGGATGGGCGCTGGGAAGGATCTGGGTCACAGAATGGGACATGAACCTAGAAGGTAGAACAGAATTCAGAACTTGGATTTGAACTGCAGAATTTGGAATACGGAATCAGGAATATAGAACAGAGGTTATAGAAGACCACCTGCGAAGGGGTTCTTAATACAAGACAGTTGGAAAGAGGCTTTTCTCTTTCTCCCTCCATGATATTGAGACCTTGACTGTTTAGTTTCAGTAGGGAGAATCTCCTGCCCTTTCTTTTTCATTCCTGCAGGCAAAGTAAAGGGCCAGGGCCTGTATTTCTCTCACCCTGCATTCCTTTTCTCTCTTCATATTCTGTCAGCCCAACCCCCATTCTACTGGGCCACTAGGTATGTGGATTGGGTTCAGTGACTTTGGGAGCCTCCTGGGTGATCGCTACACCTCATGAACCTCTAGGTTGCTTGATTCTATCTCCCTTTGAGGAAAACTTGTGCTGGAGTCACTAATGGAACCAATTAAATATTTACTATAAATCATGATGTTTTTTCTTCATCTGCGAGGAACTTAGGCAGGTGCTAGAGGCAGGACCAGTTTCCTAGTTCCACCTTGCTGATTTACTTCCCTTGCCTTGTATTGTGTTCCCTGAGCTACAATCGGGGAGGGCCTTCCCCCATGGCAGAAGGCATTCAGGACATCAGCATTTCTACCTCCAGATAAGTAGAATTTACACCAAAAGTCTTGAACTCTGTAGAATTCGTCCCAGGAGTAGAAAACACTTGAGGCTGTCAAATGCTGCGTTAGAGTTGTGACTCTGCCCTAGGCAAATGGGGAAACACTTGATGCATCCGTGGGAAAAAACAAGCGTTAATTAATGCCTTCCCTGACTTGCTGCCCTCACTAGTGTGGGATGTTTGGGTGAATAAGACAATGGTTAAATATAGAAGTTATGAAGGTAAATCCACAGGGGTTCGAGTGTTGGCACTACCACGCTCTCGCGTTATCTTGGGCATATGACACTCCTTCAACTATTAATAGAGCGCCTACTAGCTGCTGGACGTTGCTTTAGGCGCTGAAGAAAGTAAACGAGGCAAAGAATCGGCCCTTGCAGCCTCAGTTTCCTGGTTTTGGAGGGCAGCGTGAGGGTGTTGGCTGCTGGTTCTCGCCCTGACAACCCCAGAGCCGCGGCCGCTGCTCCCACGCCGCCCGGTCGCCACTTGCACCACGCGCCCGCTGCCATTCTGGACCTCGGCGCTTCGCTTCCGGCCTCCGCGCCTCGCTTCTGGCCAGCCGCTCTTTCCTTCCGCTTCTCTATAGTGTGCGGGAATACGTCTCCCTGCCGCCGGAAGTGGCTAGCTTGCTGCGACCGGTTCCGGGCTTGGAGCGGTGAGCGGGGCGCAGGGATAGCGGGCAAGGTCGGAGGGGTGGAGCGGGGCTGGGCGCTCCGGGACAGAGGTGCAGACCTCCGGGAGGGCGTCCCCAGGCTGGGGGTCGACCCGAGTTCTCCGGGGTCACCAGCCGCTCGGCGCCGCGCGCTCAGTCTCTTCAGGTGAAAATGATGTTGGCTGCAGCAGAATCGGACCCCGCATGGTAGCCTCTAGGTGACGACGATGATGTCGATGTCGAAGGTGGTAGTGATAATAGCTCACATTTATTGTGTGCTTACGTGTGCCGGGCTGTCTTTACTGGGTTTCCGAAGTCGGGATTTCCCACATTTCAGCCTTTCGCGTCCCAATTTTGTGGGTTGTGCCCAATTTACCGTTTAAGACTTTGCTAAAGGGTTTTTTTTTTTTTAAGATTTTATTTATTTATTTGACAGAAACACAGTGAGAGGGAACACAAGCAGGGGGAGTGGGAGAAGGAGAAGCAGGCTTCCCGTGGAGCGGGGAGCCCGATGCGGGGCTCGATGCGGGGCTCGATCCCAGGACTCTGGGATCATGACCTGAGCTGAAGGCAGATGCTTAACAACTGAGCCACCCAGGCGCCCCTTCGATAAAGGTTTTTGGTCGAGTCACCTTTTACTTCTTAAACGTAAATTTTCTTTAAGAGAACATTTTAAGTCTCTCCCCTGAATGGAGACTTGTCCTATGTAGAAGGTAGTGATAACTAATATATTTAACATGAAAATATTCTTAATTCTGGCTAGATTTCATTGTCTAAGGCTCTGAGACAGAGTCCTTTTGTTAACAAAGGAACATTGATTGTTCACAGATGTTAAAGACAAACTAGGGAAATGAGATGTTCTTGAAGCAATCAGAAGTTTCTAAAAAGAATTGAAAGGGGATTAACTTTCTCCTTAGGTGTTCAACATTATTTCAGATCACCCATGTACCATCTAAAGCCCCAGTCCTAGGTCGTCATCATCACCTTCACCAGCGGAGTGCCTCCTGTGTCAATGTCCACAGCAACCCCTGAGGTAGGGACTGTTACTCTCTTTTGATCTGTGAGGAAGCAGGCCCAGAGAACAGTGAAGCAACTTGTCCCAGGATTCATAGTAGTAAAACAGTAGCGTGGAGACTCCAACTCAGGGCTTCTCTGACTCACTACCATGAGCTGTTAGTTCCTTCAGTAATTGTTGGTGACAGATTTGTTGGGGTGAGGGGTATAGTGCTGCCAACCTCAGGGCTGTGGTGACAACCAGGAGAGGTAGCAGAGGGAGGATGCTTTGTGACTCAAGTCCCATGAAATGTAGGTTGCATTCTTTTAAATTTTAGGACCAACCAAAGATTTGATGGCATTGCCAAGTGAGATGATAGCAAGACACACTGGTGTCAAAATAATGTAGTTGTCAAAGAGCACTGATCTGGCATCAGATGGACCCAAGCTTTAGCATATTCTGTGTGGCCTTCGGCACCTCATTCACCTTTCTGAACCTCAATGTTCTCATCCATAAAATGGTACTTGTTCTTATCTGAAAGTTTTCTTATAAGGATCTAGTGAGAACATATGCTTAAAGCGCTTAGATCAGGTCCAGCATGCGGTGATCAATCAATAATATTGGGAACGTGTATATATGCTAGGCTGAGTTTAGTCAGGGATGTGGTTTGTGGTGCCTTTAAAGGAGGTGGAGCTAGAAAAGGTGAGTTTTTTTTGGACAGGCTGAGGGCTGATTCCCCCCTTAGAGAGTGTGCTCACGGTGGTGGCGGGGGCAGAGCAGAGGGAGAGAGAATCTTGAGCAGGCTCCACACCTAGCACAGAGCCTGATGTAGGGCTTGAACTCACAACCCTGAGATCAAGACCTGGCTGAGATCAAGGGTCAGCTGCTTAACCAATGAGCCACCCAGGCGCCTCATTCCCTCTTTTTATTTTTTTATTTTTGAAAAGATTTTATTTATTCATTTGAGAGAGAGGGAGAGAGTACGAGCAGGGGGGAGAGGGAGAAGCAGTCTCCCCACTGAGCAGGGAGCCCAACAAGGGGCTGGATCCCAGGACCCTGGGATCATGGGATCATGACCTGGGCTGAAGGCAGCAGCTTAACTGACTGGGACACCCAGGCACCCCTCCCCACTTTTACAGAGGATTAAAATGAGGCTTTAGAGGGTTCAGTGACCTTTTTTTTTTTTTTTTTGAGTTAACAAGGGGATAAGTGGCCAGAACTACTAGTTAGACTTCAGTATTCTGACTCCAGGAAAATCTCCCAATTCCAACTCTGGAAAAGAAAATTTTTTTTTTTTTAAAGATTTTATCTGTTTGGCAGAGAGAGACACAGCGAGAGAGGGAACACAAGCAGGGGGAGTGGGAGAGGGAGAAGCAGGCTCCCTGCGGAACAGGGAGCCCGATGTGGGTCCTGGGATCATGACCTGAGCCGAAGGCCGACACTTAACCGACTGAACTGAACCACCGAGGTGCCCCCAACTCTGAAAAATCTTAAAAGTTTCCTCCTTTTAACAGGTCTCTGCTTTTTCCTCCTGACCTCACCAAACAACCATGTCATCAGAATCAAGCAAAAAACGGAAGCCCAAAGTGATCCGAAGTGATGGAGCTCCAGCTGAAGGGAAGCGTAACCGTTCTGACACAGAGCAGGTGAGATCAGCCAGGGCTGCCACATTGCTGAGAAATTACAGCTCGTGACCAAGCACCTAGCTGTGAGTTTGCAGCAGCTGAGGGTCACAGGGACAACCTTCCAGGTGGCCTCTGCTTGACCAGGTGCCTGGACTTCCCTTGGTTCTACAAACCTGAGTATTTACATCTGGTTTAGCTGCAGCATCCCAAGAACCAACAAGCCTATGTTAGACATAAATAGTGCCTGAACAAAGAGTGCGTTCTAATATGGTGTAGGTCTCCATTTTTCCTGATGGTCAGAAGAAGCCAGTATCTGCAGCACACCACTGGTGATTGGAGATGTGGCATCCCTGGTCTACTACTGAGATAGTATCAGAACGACAGCCCCACAGAATCTCTTCTGTGACTTGAGAGCTCATGTGGTCAGCAGGTTCTTCCTTTTACTGTTATTCTGTCCTTGAATCTGTCAAGCTAATTGATGACTTAATTGTTTTGATTGTTTCGTTACTTTATTTTTTATTTATTTATTTTTAAGATTTTATTTATTTATTTGAGAGAGAGCAAGCACAAATGAGGGGAGGGGCAGAGGGAGAGGGAGAAGCAGGCTCCCTGATGCAGGGCTCTGTCCCAGGACCCTGGGATCATGACCTGAACTGAAGGCAGATACTTAACTGACTGAGCTACCCAAGCACCCTACTTTTTTTTTTTTAAGCTAGAATAGAGAAACATAAGAGCTTGAATTTAAGTAGAAAATGATGTTTTCCTCAGATTTAGGAAATCTAGATTAACAAAAAACCTTACCCATTGCAGGCATTGGTTCTTTTTTTATTGGGATATAATTGACATATAACATTATATTAATTTAGGGTGTACAACATTTGATATCTGTATATATTGTGAAATGATCACCACAAAAATCTAGTTAATATCCATCCCTATGTGTAGTTAAAATTTTTATTTCCTCTGATAAGAACTTTTTTTTTTTAATTAAGTAGGCTCCACGCCTAGTGTGGAGCCTGACATGGGGCTTGAATTCACAACTCTGAGATCAAGACCTGAGCTGAAATTAAGAGTTGGACACTTAACTCACTGAGCCACTCAGCCACTCAGTTATGAGAACTTTTAAGACCTACTATCTTAGCGACTTTTAAATATGCAATGCAGGATTATTAACTATAGTGGACTCTCTCTTCATGAAATGTGTTCCGTTCACTCCAAAGGCTAAGTGACCAGTTATGATATTTTAGCCTCTGCTAAAGCTTGATTTGACCATCTAAACACTCATCAGTAGGAATATAGTTAAATGAATCCTGGTTCATCTATATGGTGGATTATCACGCAGCCATTTTGATAGGTATTTAAATTTATTGGGATAAGAAATTGCAAAAAGTAGCATGGATAGTATGATCCCATTTTGTTTAAAAATAAAATTTGTGGGCGCCTGGGTGGCTCAGTTGGTTAAGTGACTGCCTTCGGCTCAGGTCATGATCCTGGAGTCTCTGGATCGAGTCCCGCATCGGACTCCCTGCTTGGCAGAGAGTCTGCTTCTCCCTCTGACCCTCCCCCCTCTCATGTGCTCTCTCATTCTCTCTGTCTCAAATAAATAAATAAAATTTTTTTTTAAATATTTTATTTATTTATTTGAGAGAGAGAATGAGAGATAGAGAGCACGAGAGAGAAGAGGGTCAGAGGGAGAAGCAGACTCTCTGCTGAGCAGGGAGCCCGATGTGGGACTCGATCCCGGGACTCCAGGATCATGACCTGAGCCGAAGGCAGTCGCTTAATCAACTGAGACACCCAGGCGCCCATAAATAAAATCTTAAAAAAAAATAAAAATTTGTGTTTATCCACAGTATTAAAAATAATTATTTCAGGATGGGAGGTGAGATTACAGGCAACTTTTCATTTTGTTTTTGATACTTCTCACTATGTTTTGAGTCTCTGACACCAAGCATTCATTACTTTATAATTAGAAAGAAGAAAAGAGGAATGAATTCTTTTCCATTTTGAAAAGAAGAAAAACATTTGATTTGAGGACCAGATTTTTTAGAGACCTGATTTGGGGTTTCACTGTTACTGATTTCAGCCCAGTGTCCCTGGTCCCAACAGGGAGACTCTTATTCCCCACCCAAAGCCTGTATCCTTGCCTCCACAGGAAGGTAAATACTACAGCGAGGAGGCTGAAGTGGACCTGCGGGACCCTGGCAGAGACTATGAACTGTATAAGTACACATGCCAGGAGCTACAGAGGCTCATGGCTGAGATCCAGGACCTGAAGAGCAGAGGAGGCAAGGATGTGGTAAGGAGTGGGACTAGGATTGGGCAGACATGAACCTGGTGGGTTTGCATGGATGGACTTGTTTTGCACCCATCAGAGCCCTTCCTCATCTTGGTCTTCTGTCCTAGCCATGATCAGGTGGTTGGAGTCTGGGAGCTCCAGAGATGTGCCCGTTAACCTATGGGAACATGTCATCACCATCCAACCACCAATTACAGTAACAAAAGTACAGGACAATTTTTCTCATAACTGTAATTTGATAATTCATCTAACTGATATTACATGCTAGGCATTTTGCTAGGTTTTGAGAAATGATACGTGTAAATTCCTTTGTTGTTTTAAGGATGAACATGTACAAGTATGTCATAGAGACCAGAAATAAAATTATTAACTTTAAATGAATGAACCAGACTTTGGGACAAAGGAACTAAACAGTGACTAAAAACAAAACCTATATATTTCCAAGAATCTCCCTTATTTGTGCTTATACTGTCCAATATTGTTATGATTATTACATTGTATTTTACTCTAGCCACGCTTTACAGCTGTAATTCTGCCATTTTCATTTAAGTTATTCTGTAATGTCATTCACAGAGGTCAAATTGTATGGCAGGGTGTTGCTATCGCTAGGATCTCTGTATACAGTACATAGGGACAGATATTAATTGTGCATTGGCTGCACTTGCTCCATCTTCAATCCCTGTTACTTCAGGTAGAAATTTTTTTTTTTCGCCTGGGAACTGTAAGCATTTCCCTTATACAGTCATTCTTCCATTTCCCACTGACATGTCTCTTGGTTCTGAGCTCCTTCCAATATTTGTGTTTGGTTGTGGGTGGGGATGGGTCACCAGTGAGGGGCTGAAGGAAGCTGAGCCAGCACCTGTTGACAAGATCTTTACCGGTTTTCTTTGCCTACAGGCAGTTGAGATAGAAGATCGGAGGATCCAGAGTTGTGTGCATTTCATGACTCTAAAGAAGCTTAATCGATTAGCCCACATCAGGTTGAAGAAAGGAAGAGATCAGACCCATGAGGTAGAAATTGAGAAGTTTAATCCTCCTTCTCCAACTCTTTCCCACATTCCCTTCTTAATCCCCTTTACCTCTTCCCTGTATTTACTTCTGTTCTGTCTGACCTGACTTGCCCCACTCACCTCTGACCTTGTCCTCCTTTCAGGCCAAGCAGAAAGTAGACGCCTATCACCTGCAGCTGCAGAACCTGTTGTATGAGGTGATGCACCTGCAGAAAGAGATCACCAAATGTCTGGAGTTTAAGTGAGTTTTGGAGAACACCCTTTGGCAAAATAGTGTGTTGCTAACTGCTTTTTCCTGCATAGCTCAGTGTGAGCTAGCCTCCTTAAAAAAAAATCAGATGGGCTTGGAGACTGCAGGATCTGGGACGAAGGTGAATAGATCACTTTGAGTGGGAGAATTGGAAGCAGTGTTTTCAGGCTGCACAAAAAAACCTCAGAAGCCTGTCTGACTTCTTTAAGTTTTGAGCTCTGCACCTGGTCAAAAGCAGTTTTTCTCTAGCAGGGGCCTTTACATTACCAGTTTGATTCCTGGGCACCTTGCATGGGAGCAACTCCCTTCCAGTCAAATCTTTTTAACCTTTTGGCCCAGTTTTTCCTTTCTAAAGTTGCAGCCATTCATTTTTGCAACTGGATTTTATTCTTTGGAAGCTGAACTTCTTGCCACTTCGCTGCCTTTGGGTGAACAAACTATAGTTTTTCAGTGTCCATCTTAAAATGTAATGCCTCTTAGCAAATCCAAGCTGAGAGATGAGTAGGAAGAAAGAAGTAGACAGACAAAGAGAAGGGAATGTATTCTTGCTTGGTAAGACCTTGTGCAGACTGAGAAGAGGCAGGTGTTTTGTTATTGTTGTTTGGTTTTTGGTTTGGTTTTGTTTTTGAGAGAGAATGAGAGAGAGGGGAGCCTGGGTGGCTTATTGGTTAAGCAGCTGCCTTCGGCTCAGGTCATGGTCCCAGGGTCCTGGGATCGAGCCCCGAGTTGGGCTCCCTGTTCAGCGGAGAGCCTGCTTCTCTGCCTACTTGTGCTCTCTCTCTCTCTCTCTCTCTCTCTTTCTGTCAAATAAATAAAATCTTAAAAAAAGAGAACACACATGAGTGGGGGCTGGGGGGAGGAGCAGAGGAAGAGGGAGAAGCAGACTCCCTGCTGAGCAAGGAGCCCGATGTGGAACTTGATTCCAGGACCTTGAGATCATGACCTGAGCTGAAGGCAGATGCTTAGCTGTTTGAGCCACCCAGGCCCCCGAGGCAGGTTTTATTTGTAGTAAACTTGGGATGAGAGGGGCATATCAGTCATTGAGTCTGGTGTATTTTTTATAATTATGCTGATTTTTGAGCGGTATCTTTATCTGCTTTACAAATTCATCCATGTCATAATAGTTAAATACTAATAGAGGTGAGATCTGTATCAGGTTTGTGCCTGAGTTAATAGTATTGTATCATTGTCAGTTTCCTGGTTTTGACAATGTACTATGTGTAGATACTATCATTGGAGGAACCCAGGGGAAGGATACACAGAGGAAATAAACTCTCAGTACTATTTTTGAAAGTTCCTGTGTATCTTAAACGACTTAAAAATAAAAAGGTATTAAAATTCCATCACTCAGATGAAAGCTGACAAATGCAGAATACAATAGAACCCTGGCCTGTGGAGAGGTGGGTGACCACCCTTGGCCCTGGTCGGACTTTTTGGATTCAAATTCCAGCTCTGCCACTCACTAGCTTGTGACCTTGGGCAAGCTCCTCGACTGTGGAAGTCTCCATCTCATTTGAGATATGGAGATAGAAATCCCCATTTGGTGAGTTATCGTGAGAAACAAGTGAGGTGAGGCTGGCTTAATACCTGGTAGCTGCTGTTATTACCATCATCTGTCCACAACTTGTGCACTCCTATGTTAACATGGGAAAAAGAATTGGGTTTCTTTTCTTCTGAGTTACTATATATTCAACAGATGAAGCCTCTAGATCATTATACTGGCTTTTCCCCATCCCATGCTCATGCAGTTAATATTTTGAAGTTCCGTGCAGACCCTTACTTTTTTTTCCCGTTTCCAATTCTTGGTTTCAACCTGGCAGCCTAGATCTAGACCGTAGTGTTTTTATTGACTCTTTCAGTTCTTACCTCTTTTGCTAAGCTTGGAGACATCTATAAATTTGAGACATCTGTAAATTTGAAAAGCATCCCTTCCAGGTCTTCAGCTAATTCATGGATAAAAAGGTTGGACACCATCGATAAGGATCCTATGGTATGTCACCAACTACCTCGCTTCAAAATGAAACAATTTACTAATGAGCATTTGCTGAGAAGACTGGATTCCAGGTTCCTGGGTAGTTGTAGAGCAGGGCTAAGTAAGCATACATGGAGGGAACTGTGGGCCCACTTAATCCACGGTTTGGGATCCTGAGAACAGCAACTTGACATCTAGTTTTTCCCTGCAGGTCAAAGCATGAAGAAATTGATTTGGTCAGTTTAGAGGAATTTTATAAGGAGGCTCCACCAGATATTAGCAAGGCTGAAGTCACCATGGGAGACCCCCACCAGCAAACCCTTGCACGTCTGGACTGGGAGCTGGAACAGCGGAAAAGGTTGTGTATCTTTCCTGACCTTGTTAACCTGTGCAGACACAGACCCTTAACTATGAGGACAGTGCTTTGTCATGCACGACCCACAATCATACAGCAAAGTTCTGGAACCAGTAGAATGGTTTAAGACCAAATCCCATTTTGTGATTAATTCACACTTGACCAACAGCATCATGGGTGGGGCTGGAATTGCTTATGGCTGTTAAAAGAAAATTGAAGTAACTTTTTCTTTAAAATTTTAACACCTGAGACCTAAATACCTTTTGTATTGTAAATTTAATTTTTTTCTTTTGCTTTTTCCTCTGCCTCTAAGACTGTCCCTGTGGTACTTTAAAGGTTTGCAGACATTATTTTAGAAGGTTCTGCATGGCATTCCTGTGTATAGACAAATTACAATTTACATAATCTTTCCTCTGTTGGATTGGACTTTTAGTTACCACTTTTTTGCTATCATATTTTATGCTTCAAAGAGCACCTTTACATATAAAAATTTCCCGTACTAATAAAGATCTTTTATTTATTAATTGTAAATAGAACATCTATATTGTGTAATTTAATCTAGGTTTTTTTAAGGGGATAGTGTATTTTTCATACTGAGTCTTTCATGGCTGCATCCTTTTCGTTATAGTGACTTTCTTCCCCATATTGGTACGTTTTCGTACCAATTCTAGGGCTTTTGGTTGACACATCTGCTCTGTTTTCCACTGGAGAAGCAGGTGTTTTTATTCCTTTTTTTTTTTTCCTGTTATAGAATGTATTCTTTGCCTTTGGTCCATGTTACAAATTTAATAAGCACTAAGTGTGGTGCTTATGGAATTGGTGTCAGGTTGTTAGCAGTTGGGGCTGGCCCATCACTCGCCTGTCCGGTACATGGCTTGCCTTGGCACAGGCTAAGCCATGAGTGTTGTATTCCTGTGGTCCAGAATCCATCACCACCCTGTCCCACTCAGGCCAGTCTGTGGGGCTCATTTGGGTACTATAGTTGCTAGGTCCACATGTTTGTGAAAGTTTTGGCTCTAGACCTTAGAGGTAAGAAAGGGAACAGGAAATGACACGGATATTCCCTAGTGGTTAATGAGCAGAACCTCTGGAGCCGGCAGGCATGGATTCAAAGCCCAGCTCTGTACTTGATTTTAGCTGGATGACCTTGGGCAAGTTACCTACCTCCTTAAGCCTTTGTTTCTTCCTTTGGGGAAAAGAAGAGTCCCTATCTTCCAGGATTTTTATAAGGATTAAATGCAATAATACTTATAAAGAGTTCTCCAAGTGCTTGACACATAGTAAGTAGGTAAACATTAGTTAATCATGACTACTGTCATTAGGTGGATTGTGACAGTCAGGTGTGTTGGGAGATCTCTGAGGAGCTTCGAGTGACAGTGGTTTCTCCTTTCCCAATAGGCTGGCAGAGAAGTACCGGGAGTGCCTGTCCAACAAGGAAAAGATCCTTAAGGAGATTGAGGTGAAGAAGGAGTACCTAAGCAGCCTCCAGCCTCGCCTCAATAGCATCATGCAGGTGAGACTCTCCCCCATATACTCCCCAACATTGGCCTTTTGCTTTGCCTTCAGCACCCAGTGAGACCTTGCTGACCTGAGGCCTCCAGCAGCCATGTATCCCTTTGGGTTTTCCCTAGTGGGTGTCAGAGCCCAGTGCAAGGATTGTCCTATTTGGCAGTCTCTACCCAGCCAGTACGGTAAGGTTGTGTCCTGGGTGGAAGAGATGCTGCCGTGTGGGCTCAGGAACATAGACACACATTTACCTGGGATGTTTTCTTTTTCTCCCAGAGCTTCTTCCAGGTAAAATACTTCTGCAAACTCTAGGTTTAATTTACTCCCAGAATGGTTTCCACCAGCCCCACAGCCTCTAGACATCTAAGCCTGCTTCTGTGGATGTCTGTTAGACTCCCTGACTGCACCTTGGGGGCAGATGTTCAGCAGATGTACTCTCTCTGAAGAGAACTTTTCTCATATTCGAAAGCTATTAGGTACCTTCAGAGGAAAAATTCCCACTTTACAATGTAATGTAAATGTAATGTATTTCTGTGTAGGTGACCTGATTTTTATTTGTGAGGCCAGATTTGCTCTAAATCCTTATAGTTCTGTTTTTTTTTTTAAGGTTTTGTTTTTTGTTTTTTTTTTTTAAGTAAACAACTATGCCCAACATGGGGCATGAACTCAAGACCCTGAGATCAAGAGTCATATGCTCTACCAACTGAGCCAACCAGGCACCCCTCTAAATTCTCATAGTTTTATGTAGTAGAGTAAATGGTTAATACGGAGGAACTTTGCAAAAGGACCCTAGAGAAATAAAAAAATTCCCTTTTCTAGGATTTGGCAAGATGTACATTTCCTCCCTTCAACTCTAGGCATAGAATTAGAATTGTTAACAAATAGTCTCAGTAGTACTTCATAATAGGACAGAAAGAAAACAAACTAAAAATTTGGGTTGTACTTAATTTTTCCTCTTTTTTTTTTTTTTTTAAAGATTTTGTTTATTTATCTGAGCAAGAGAGTGTGGGAAGACGAGCAGATGGGGAGAGACACCCAGGCTCTACTCCTAATGCAGAGCCCAATGCAGGGCTTGATCTCACGACCCTGAGATCATGACCTGAGCCCAAATCAAGAGTTGGATGCTTAATGGACTGAGCCACCCAGGCACGCCTTAATTTTTCCTATTAACTGCAGTCTCTCTAAACATGCCTAAGTAGGGTACAGGTTAACTAAATTCTTGTATGGCACAGCCTTACAGCTGTATTGGAAGTACAGAACATCATTACACTGATAAAATAATTGGACAGAATAAAGATTTATCATATAATTAAACAAAACAGTGCCCACTGTGGGACATAAAGTACTATTTCATTGTATACCTTTGTTTATAACGTATCCATATGAATATATACATTGTGAGTCCAGTGTATTCTTAAAAGAGTTACTATTCATACCAGATCTTTAACAATTACTTTGGGGTTTGGGGACTGGGAGGTTTGTTTGTTTTGTTTTTAAAGTAGTCTATGCCCAATGTGAGGCATTGACCCCGAGACCGAGAGTCACATATTCTACCAATTGAGCCAGTCAGGTGCCCCTGGGAGTTTTTGCTTTTATAAACTTGAATACAAGTTTGTTTTTTTTTTTTTTTTAAGTAGGCACCACACTCACCGTGGAGCCAGTGCAGGTCTTGAACTCATGACCCTGAGATCAAGAGTTGAATACTTAAATGACTGAGCCACCCAGGTGCCCCAAATACAACTTTTTTTTTTGTAAAGATTTTATTTATTTATTTATTCATGAAAGAGAGAGAGAGAGAGGCAGAGGGAGAAGCAGGCTCCCAAGGAGCAGGGAGCCCGACGCGGGACTCGATCCCAGGACCCTGGGATCATGACTTGAGCCAAAGGCAGATGCTTAACCATCTGAGCCACCCAGGCGCCCCTGAATACAACTTTTTAAAACTGCACGTATATTACACTTAAAAGAATAATGTTATGTATAGAAAAGCATACAGTTCATAAGTGTATAGGTCAGTGATTATTCACAAGTGAACACATCTCTGTAACTGGCACCCAAATCAAGAAAAAAAACAGTATTGACTTTTTTTTTTTTTTTTAAAGTTTTTATCTATTTATTTGACACAGAGAGAGCAAGCACAAGTAGGCAGAGCGGCAGGGAGAGGGAGAAGCAGACTCCCCGCTGAGCAGGGAGCCTGATGCGGGGCTTGATCCCAGGACCCTGGGATCATGACCTGAGCCGAAGACAGACATTTAACTGACTGACCCACCCAGGCGCCCCAGTATTGATTTTTTAGAAGCAATTTTATTTCCCCTTCCAGTCACTGTATCCTCCCACGCCCCTGTAACCATTATCTTGACTTCTAATATCATAGGTTAGTTTGGCCCATTTTTGAATCTACACAAATGGAATCATATACACATGAGTCTGGCTTCTTTTGCTCAACATTATGTTTGTGAGATTTGTCTATATTGTCGTGAACACCAGGAGTTCATTTATTTTCATTGATACTTAGTATTTGATTGTGGGTTCTTCTAGTTTGGGGCTAGTGAATAATGCTGCTATGGGCATTCTTTGTCCTTTGGTGCCTGTGTGTACATATTTCTGTTGAATATATTCCTAGGAATGATATATGCTAGGCATATATTTAGTTTTGGCACGTACTGAAACAGTTTTCTAAAGTGATTGCACTGATTTACAAAATTCCCCTAGCACCATATGAAAGTTCTTTTTTTTTTTAAGATTTTATTTATTTATTTGAGAGAGAGCATGAGAGGGGGGAGGGTCAGAGGGAGAAGCAGACTCCCTGCTGAGTAGGGAGCCCGATGCGGGACTCAGTCTCAGGACTCCAGGATCATGACCTGGGCCAAAGGCAGTCGCCTAACCAACTGAGCCACCCAGGCGCCCGCACCATATGAAAGTTCTAATTGCTGCCCATCTTCACCAACACTTGATAATTGTCAGTCTTCTTATTTTTAGCCATTCTGGAGGGCATTGCTTATGGTTTTAAATTCCTTTTCCCTGAGGACCAGTGATGTTGCACTACAGCCCCTCTTATATGCTTATTAGCTTTTGGATTACCTCATTTGTGAAAGGCCTGTTCAAGTCTTTTGCTTGTACTTCTTTATATTTTCTGAAGATGAATCTTTTGCAGATATTTTGTGACTTTCTTTTTCACTCTCATAATGGTATCTTTTAATGAGCAGATGTTCTTAATTTTTATATGATCTAATTATCAGTGTTTTCATTTATGGTTAGTGCTTTGGTGTCCTGTTTAAGAAATTTATCTCTGTTTCCAAAGTCATGGAGATATTCTCTTGTTTTCTTAATAGAAGCTCTATTGTTTGTCTTTCACATTTAGATTTCTAGGCTTCCTGGAAGGGAATTTTGTACCTAGTGTGAAGTAAGGGTCAGATTCATTTTTTTTTCCCGTTGGTATTCAGCTGGGTCATTTATTGAAAAGACCATTCTTTTCCCACTCTGCTGTGCCACTTTTGTCTTAAATGTCCGTGTAGGTTTGTGAATGGTCTATTTGTCTATCCAGGTACCAGTACCATACTGGCTTATTTACCGTAACTTTTTTTTTTTTTTTAAGATTTTATTTATTTATTTGACAGAGCAAGTGTGAGAGGGAGAGAGCACAGGAGGGGGGAGAGGCAGAGGGAGAGGGAGAAGCAGGCTCCTCGCTGAACAGGGAGCCCAGTGTGGGGCTCAATCCCAGGACCCCGGGATCATGATCTGAGCCGAAGGCAGACGCTTACACGACTGAGCCACCCAGGCACCCTGGTCCTTTGCATTTAACATAATAAGTTTTAGAATCAGCTAGTCGATTTTCACCTGCTGGGATTTAGACTTGGATTGCATTGAATCTGTAGATCGCTTTGGGATGAACTGATTTCAAGATATTATTGAGTTTTCCAGACCATTAACATGGTATATATCTCCATTCATTTAGATTTTTCATTTCTCAGACCTTTGTGTAGAGGCTTACATACTTTTCACTTATTTATTCTTAGGTAGTTGATGTTTTCTTGATGCTATTGGAAATGGCTCTTTTTATAAGTTCATTTTCTTACTGTTTGCTGCTTATATAAATTGATCTTTGTGTATTGACTTTTTGTCTACCTATTCTGTTACCTTATTATGTATTTTTAGTAAATAAAAAGATATTAGGGTAACTCAGCAGCCACCTCTTCATATGTGGACTGCCTAAAAAGAGAAAAGAAAAACCCTTCTTTTGTTGCATGCAGGCTTCCCTCCCCGTGCAAGAGTACCTGTTCATGCCGTTCGACCAGGCTCACAAGCAATATGAGACAGCTAGACACCTGCCACCTCCCCTCTATGTCCTCTTTGTTCAAGCCACTGCATATGGGCAGGCCTGTGGTGAGTATGGGGGGTGGGTGAGGAGGAGGGGCTGTGGGAGCAGCAGCCTTGGCCGTTTGAGTCATTTGGAAGCCCTGCCCGCCGAGGAAAGCACCCTGGTCCTGCCAGAAGCCCACAGGTGACAGATGCTGCCCCCCACCGCCGCACCACCCAGCATGGCTGCTTTGACCAGCTGGCCTGAGGCTAGACTAACCTGGTGGGCATTTCAGAATGGATGGCTTTGAATCTTTGATGAGCCTGGCTGGTCAGCTGTTGAGTGCAGTGCCCAGGCAGCCTGTCTGGGCTCCCAGACACTCACCTCATCAAGGCACGCTTGGCAGGTGGATCGGCACCTCTTGCTCCGCTTCAGAGAGAGGAGTTGGTCAACACAGGTCCCAGGCAGCTTTCCCAGGCTTTCACCAAGCCCAAACAAGCTGCATGTCATTATAGTGAATTACCAAGTGGGAAGATGTCTCTGCTTTAAGTTTAAGGGCAGCCCTTTACTTCACTAGGATTTTGAAAAGTTTTTGGAGACCCTAACCTTTGCCTTCCTGCAGCTTTTAGCCAGCACCTAAACTTTTCTTCTTCACCCCATCGCATCAGACAGATATGTATCGCACAGGTGCATGCCTCTCCTCCCAGCCATGGGCACCGACACATTACTGTCTCTCTTCTTGTGTTTTTCTGGTCCTTTGGTCCTCTCCCTCCCTTTTGTTCTCCTTCTTGTTTCCATCATCAGCTCATATGAAATCCTCCCAGCCCCCTAGACAGGGTGAGTAATTTTCTTTTCTTTTGTGTTTAAACCCATCCTGTTTCCTTTACCATTTTACTGTAGAATTTCAGGATTAAGTTACCCAAAAGAATAGTTTGGCATTTGCCAGTGGTTGGTGGGGGCATCCAGCTTGTTTGGGGTGAGGTATGTTCATTCGTGCAGGGCTGTCAGAGCAGTTGCCGGCCACCTGGGAGTATTATCTCAGTGGCCTGCCAGGTTGAGGAAGTTTGCTGTTCCTCCTTAGTACAGTCGGGCAAACCATTTCGGGCTCCTCTGACTATCTGTAATCTGTACACCCTTTTGAATGGAGCAAGAGGGGTGGTGGCCTGTTTTGACCTCTCTGCACAAAGGCAGGCCAGGTGTGACCCAGGGAAGTGTCAGTCCTGGTGCATGGACCGGCCCACTTATATTTGTGCTTGAGACACTGGGCTCAAGTTGAATAGACCTGGTCTTGAATCCTAGCTTAGCTACTCTGGCTATTGTATCTAACTTCTCTGAGCCTTAATTTTTTCATTTCACGGCTATAATGTATGGCTTTCAAAGCGTTGCTGCAAAAGTTAAACATTAATTTGAAAAAAATAATTTTATAATTATAAGCATCGGCTCATTTGGTCCTCACCACCCAACTGGGCAGCTACTCTTTGTCAAGATAGGATTTCACTGATGCAGAAAGTGGGGCTCAGAGCAGTGACATAACTTTCCAGATGTTTAGGAATTGGTGGGGCAGGGACTCAGATCTGGGACTAGACTACAGGGTCCGACCTATCCACTGTCCTGCCTCCCAGTTAAATGTGGTGGTGCCAGCCAGATGCTTAGTGTAGTACAGAATAGAGAGTAAGCACTCAGATGAGAGATGTCATTTCCATAATGTGGACAGTTATGTGTTCTGAATGAGAACCTTTAAGACAGTTGGCAGAAGAGTATTTTGTGGCTTTAGGCCCTGGGTTGGGATTGTGCGTTGGTATAAGCTTGAAGAGAGAGGCATTCACCATAGTCTCAGGTGATGCTTGTCCAGAAGGCTGCACTTTGGGTGGTTCTGAGTAAACAATGGAAAAAAGACTTAAGTTTCCTACCGTGTTCCTCTTCATCTGGAGAAAGAGCTTTTGTCCTCTCAGACCCCAGTCAGTAAGGACCTGCGACAAAGGCAGAAGAAATGCAGTCCCAGAGCTAGCCTGTTTGTATAGCTTAGCTCCTTCCCTCAGCAGCTGTCATACAAAGCTTTTTCTTGCTCACAGATAAGACCTTGTCTGTGGCAATTGAAGGCAGTGTGGACGAAGCCAAGGCTCTGTTTAAGCCTCCTGAAGACTCCCAAGGTAATGTAGTCAGGATCCTCCCCCCAGTCTCCCATAGTTGGTTCCAGGAGCACCAGGTCGCCACCCAAGGGCAGTGCTGGGCCTTTGGAAATTAGCTGTACTGGTTCTGAGTATCAGGGAGCTTGACTTTAATGTCCTAATGCTCAAGGTAGACAGGAAAAAGCACTGCTTGTGGATTTCAGCCCTGCCACTCACTAGCTTACTGATCCTGGGAAAGCTCTTTAACATTTCTGAGCTTCAGTTTACTCACTTGTCAAAATAGGATAGTAATGCCTCATGTAGAATTATCATGTGGATTAAGTGAGGTCATGCATGCAAAGTCCTTAGCATCATTCTGGGCACATAGTGACTGCTCAAATTGTATGAATTGCTGCTATTGTTGTTATTTATATTACTGTTACTGCTACCACTACCAGTGGAGGGGCTTGTGGTCCATAGGATGACATTAAAAAGCACTTTCAGAAGTGGGGAGGGAATTATGAGGCATTCCTCTTTTTATTTTCTTGCATTACCACGTTTTCTATACCAAATAAGCAGGAGCAAATTAGTTTATTATGTATTCTAAAACCTATTTACAAATGACACAGAGTCTTGGCCCCTTTATGCCCCATGGGTGGAGGCACGTTAGGGAACATTGGGAGCCCCCTCACCTCTAGATGACACTCCTTGTGGTTGCAGATGATGAGAGCGACTCGGATGCTGAGGAGGAACAGACCACGGTAAGAGCCGTTTCCTCTCATGAGTGTGCCACGCAGCTGCACCTGGGCCTGCTAGTTGGCAGGTGCTATTCTCCCTAGAAGCAGAAGAAAGAGGTTGGAAAGAAAGGGCTGCTGGGGGCCTGGCAGCTGGGATAGTTGAAGCAGCAGGTCCCAGGCAGCAGTCCCTGGCCTGTAGGGAGAAGGAAGGGGGAAATCGTGTGACCGGTGCTTATCTGCTTTGCTTTTCCTTCATCCAGAAACGCCGGCGACCCACACTGGGAGTTCAGTTGGATGACAAACGCAAGGAGATGCTGAAGAGGCACCCGCTGTCTGTCATGCTGGACCTGAAGTGCAAAGGTCTGGCTTCCCTTGTTCTGGGGGATCCCGTAGCTCCAGGTGCCCAAGGTCCAGCAAGCCAAAGTCCTGTTTGACCAAAAAAAGATTCTGGTTTCATATTTCTCTATTTTTCCTCATGGTTTGGCATGGAGTTGGTTTGATTTTTTTTTTTTCCCATCTAAGTCACAACTATAACAACAAAGCAACAAAACTAGACACATAGTGGATACTCGGTAAAATTACACCAATTTCTGAATTTGTTAAGTCAGATACACAGAACAAGTTGCAGGAGTATGCAAGTTTTGAGTAATAAGACCAACGTGCTTAATATAACAAATATAAGTAGAGGTTTGTATTCTGGAGAGAATACATGTTTTGAAACTGGTTTTGTATGGATAAAGAAGCATATGATAAAGCATTCTAGCAGTATAAGAGTTAACAATTACATGTAAGTTTCCCTCTCACCTGAGACTCCCAGACTCTTGTCCTTGGTCTTACCTCCAAGGACAACCATTGTGACAGATTTCTGATACATTTTCTACACCTGTGCATTTAGAAGCTTTTATACAAGTGTTTATTTATCCCCTTTTTACTTTTTACACAAATGGAAACATACTCTATACACTGATCCTCTCTTTACCTTTTTTTTAAATTTGTTATTTTGAGATAATTTTAGACTCAGAAGAGTTGCAGTAAATAGAGTTCTCATGCTCTTCATCCAGCTTCCCCTAATGTCAGCATTTAACCACAGTACAGTGATCCAAACCAATGTTAATTTTATTGGTATAATGTTATTAACTAAACTACAGAATTTATGTACATTTCCCTGGTTTTTCCACTAATGTCCTTTGTTCCAGGTTCCATTGCATTTAGTTGTTCTGCCCCTTAGTCTCTTCCAGGCAGTGATAGTTCCTCAGTCTTTGCTTGTCTTTCATGACCTTGACATCTTTGAAGACAAGGTTTATTATGTGGAAAGACTCAATTTGGGTTTGTCTGGTCCTTTCTCCTGACTAGACTGAGGTTATGGGTTTGGGGGAGGAATACCATAGACATGGTGTTCATTGTCACATCACATCAGGGGTAAATGGTGTCACTTGTCTTATCACCGATGATAGGAACCTGGATCCACTTGGTGATCACTTGATTGCTCCCTTTCCATATCGTATTTGTTAGAAGCAGCTAAGTCCAGGCCACACTCAAGAGGAGGGAAATGAAGCTCCCCCTCTCAGAGAGAGGAGTTGCAAGGAATCTGTAGATGTTCTTTTTTAACTCAATATAAAATTGACATTGAGTTCTTGTTTTTATCGTAAAAGCTCTTAAAAGCCCTGCTGACTTTCTGTTCCCTAACACTATAAACTCTTCTCTCATGTTCAAATTGTACATGGTCTTCGTTTCCTTCCCCCCTCAGATGACAGTGTGCTTCACCTGACTTTCTACTACCTCATGAACCTCAACATCATGACGGTAAAAGCCAAAGTGACGACTGCCACGGAGCTGATCACCCCCATCAGTGCAGGGTATTGGGCAGGCGCGGTGGAGAGTGGGGCGTGGGGGTGGGTGTGAGAAGAGCCTCAGTGTGGGCTGCTCTGGGTTCCTCACGCTCTAAGGAGGTGCATGGCTGTGTTGATTTCTGTTGTCATGTCCACGTGGCCTAGAAGTCCTGGCACATCACTGGTATTTAGGAAGCACTCACTGACTTTCGTTGGTCCTCTTACTACATAGCAGATGATAAAACGACTTCAATATATGGCAAATTGAGTGGGCGGGGCAGAGCACTAGCTTTTTATGAATAGTGGAAAGGCATGAATGGAGGAATGGAATTTGGCAGACATTATTAGGCTGACAAATTTAGGCCGCCCTCATCCTTTACTTTTTCTCTCCCAAGGTGCTGGGATTTCTGCTTCACAGCTCAGCTCAGTTCCAGGTTGTGAGAGGAGGTTTTAAGGAGGGTGAGCAGAAGTGCAGTAATAAAGGCCACAGGTGGGGCATCCCCAGGAAGCCCCTGACCCTGGCAGTCTCGTTCCACGGCTAGGAGTGGAAAGAAGGGAGGAGGACCCAAGAGAGCCTGGGGGTGAAATAGCCTCACTTACAAAAGCACTAGGCTGGCCTGGCACTCAAGCACAGTGAGTCGTCGTGTTGGCTGTACAAAGACCACTGAGGAAGGCATGGATCTGCTGCCTCGTGGGCTGGGGCTCTTCCCATGGCTGCCTGGTGGTGCGGTATCCCTGGGTTCTCTACCCTGCACTTACAGTCCACGCCCCCTTCAGGCTGCGGCTGTGGTCCTTGTACTTGAGAGTATTGTGTGGTTACCCTAGCGTACTCTGGATGAAATTGACCCTATTCTCACTTGGCCCCAGCAGAGGGAGCCCAGGCTTGCTTCTTCAGAGCATCCAGTTAACACTGCTCAGCCAGAGCTCTCTGGCAGTTGAGGCCATGGTGGAGCTCCCTGTCACCAGCATTCTGCCTGCTTGCCTCTCAATGCCATACCTCCTAAGAACAGGGCTGCCTGCTGGCCTCAGTGCACACTTAACTCCAGCTCCTCATGTGCAACGATGGGGACAGTGCTGCGGACTGGTTACCAGCTGGGCTCAGAACTCCAGCATGTCCCCAGTCTGCCACTTACAGCTGTGTGTGCACGTTGAGCCAATTTTCCTGGCCTCTGAGTCTGCCTCCTCACTCTGGTCATTAATTACAATCCCTTTCAAGGGTGTTTGTGAAGGACCAGGTCCAGTGCTTAGCATTGGTGAAGCACTTGATAGGTGACAGCTGTGTTTATCATCATGAATTTGCTCTTCACAATAACTTTACAAGGGGAGGAGACTGAGGCCTGTGTACCTCTGTACTGCATGACTGTCAATGATAGGTGGGCTATGGCCCCAGAAGGAGGAGGAGATACAAAAGGAAACCCCGCCCTGAAACCAGGATTATATCTTTATGGGCCTTCAGGTGGTGTCTAGCTCATCCCCCTGTTTTCTAGATGGCAAAACTGAGGTCCAAAGGGTATGTGGCCAGTTAAGGAAGCCCCAAGCCTTAGAGCTCCAGACTCCCAGCCCAATGGCGTTTGCTCAAGTACAGGCTGCTTTGGCTCCTGGGGATACACCAGCCTGATCTATGGTTCTATTTATTTATCTACGGAAACATAAGGATACTTTTTTTCCCCCAGTATAATTACAGTCTCACACTAATTTCTTAATACCATCCAGTATCCAGAGTTCAAATTACCTTGATTTTCTCATAAGTGTTTTTTGTTGTTTTGTTTTTATATTGGGTTTTGAATCTGGATCTCTATAAGGTCCAAATGTTGCAATTGGGTGAGGCTTCTCTCCAGCTTCTTTTCATCCGAATGTCCTGCCATCTGTTTATTTGTTGTGGGGAATGGGTTGTTTGTAGGTTTCCCCGGTCTGGATTTTGATGATTGCATCCCTGCAGCACAATTTAATGAGTTACTTTCTCTCTGTGTATTTCATGTAAATTAGATTTAGAGGCTTGATCAGATTCCATTTTGATTTTTTTGGCTGGGGGGACAGGGGAGCAAGATGACATCATAGATGTCAAGTACTTCCATCAGGAGGCATAGGAGTCTCTATTTTTGTGGCATTAGCAGCATTGACAACTGTTGCCAGGATCTATTTCATTAGGGAATTGATGTTCTTAATATAAACAATTTAAGATTTAACCAGCCTTGCTGAATATTCTTTAAGAAATTATTTTCCAGAATGATCTCCATTAGGGCAATTTGACTAATCAGTTTTTCATTAAGCCATTAAACTATTTTTAATTATTTTACACTTTACCAAATTTTTAATCCTTTATTATTTTTTTATAACAAAGATTTGACTAATTGAGTTGTTTTTTGTTTTGGTGTTGTGTTTTTTTGTTTTGTTTTGTCTTTTTGTCAGAGAGAGATAGAGCCCACAAGCAGGGGAAGCAGCAGGCAGAGGGAGAAGGAGAAGCAGGCTTCCCACTGAGCAAGGAGCCTGATGTGGGACTCAATCCCAGGACCCTGGGATCATGACCCAAGCAGAAAGCAAATGCTTAACCGACTGAGCCACCCAGGCATCCCAGTGTTTTTTTTGTTTATTTTTTTAAGCAGGCTCCACGCCTGGCATGGAGCCCATTGCAGGGCACTAACTCGCTACCCTGAGATCAAGACCTGAGCTGAGATCAGGAGTCGGATGCCCAACTGACTGAGCCACCCAGGAGCCCCTTGGTGTTGTAGTCTTATGACTATATATAATCTCTCCTTTTATGTCCCATTATTTTTAGCAAATTGAATTGTCCTGAACCACATATTACGGATGTAAGTTTTACCAAGAATTAGAAACCTTTATCATGCAGTTTTAGCTGTTCTGCTTTATTTTTGTTGATCATTCTCTTAGTAATAGTCACTAAATATTGGCCAAAAGACTGACAATTTTTTTAAAAGATGTATTTATTTATTTGAGAGGGGTCAGGGGCAGAGGGAGACCAAGCGAGAGAATGTCAAGCAGACTCCCTGCTGAGTGTAGAGCCCGATGTGGGGCTCAGTCTCATGACCTGAGACCATGACCTGAGTTGAAACCAAGAGTCAAGATGCTCAACGAACTGAGCCACCCAGGCACCCAGCAATTTTTTTTTTTTTAAGATTTTATTTATTTGAGAGAGAGAGCATGAGTAGGGGGAGGGACAGAGGGAGAGGGAGAAGCAGATACCCCGCAGAGCAGGGAGCCTGATGTGGGGCTCAATCCCAGGACCCCAAGATCATGACCTGAGCCGAAGCCAGACACTTAACCAACTGAGCCACCCAGGTGCCCCAAAAGACTGACAATTCTTATTTATTTCCCGGCCAGTTCTCCATGAAAGGCAGTGAAGGGGCAGAGACCTTGAGGAGGGCAGAGGGACTCTAGGAGAGACAGAGAACAGGGAAGAGTCAGAGGCTGTCACTGCCCCATTGCTAAGTTCTTGAAGGCGTGCTGGGGCTCTGAGCAGCAGGATTAGCCCATTCTGCCTGAGTTGCTCCTGATGCCGTACCTGGAAAGGTGAAGGAGAACCCTCCCCACTGGTTGAGGGAAAGAACGAACCTTGTCCTTTGCAATTAGATTACTCCATTATCTTTCTCCTCTCCCCTTCCATTCCTTCTCCACATGTCATGTTTAATTACAGGCTGTGCCCTAACCATTCCAGGTGGGTAGCAGTGGCGCTGTCTCTCTGCCTTATAGCCCTGGGTCACCTTGTCTCTGGTGCATGTGATAATGTCTTTTTCTGGGAACATAAAAGGGACCTTTCTCTGTGAGTAGCGTGAGATTTGGTCAAAATGAGAGAGACACACCATCAAAGCTGCACTCTTGTTCTTTTGGGGTAGAAAGGAATCTCTTCTGCTCTTATGAAAATTGTGATTGGGCGCCTGGGTGGCTCAGTTGGTTAAGCGACTGCCTTCGGCTCAGGTCATGATCCCGGAGTCCCAGGATCGAGTTCCACATCGGGCTCCCTGCTCAGCGGGGAGTCTGCTTCTCCCTCTGACCCTCCCCCCTCTCATGTGCTCTCTCTCTCTCTCTCTCTTTCATTCTCTCTCTCAAATAAATAAATAAAATCTTAAAAAAAAAAGAAAATTGTGATTATTTTATCTCCAGTGTCATAGGGCTTTGCTGCCTTGAGGTAAGGCCCTGGTCACCATATACCTCTTGAAGGGATAGGGTTTTCAAAAAATTTGGTGCTTAGAACTGCTACTGTCTTGGATCAGACAGTGCCAATCCCAGCTCCAGCACTTACTGGTAGTATGATCTAAGACAAGCCGTATCTTTCAGAGCTTTGAGTTTCTCCTCTGTAAAATGGAAACGGTTATACTCCCTCCCTCATAGGGTTGTAAGGATCCGGTGACCTCAAGTATAAAGGGTCTGGTCCACAGGAAGCATTCTAGAAATGGTAGCATGATCATCAGTGATAGGTGGCATTACCATCCTCAGATGACCAAGTCTGCCTTGAGGCAGGGAGTTGGCCAGCTTTCTCACTGCGGTCTTTTCCCTTTGCCAGTGACTTGCTGTCTCCTGACTCAGTCCTGAGCTGTTTGTATCCAGGGGACCACGGAAAGAAAACTCCAAATCCAGCCAATCAGTATCAGTTTGATAAAGTTGGGTGAGTCAGCAGTGTTTCCTCCTCTCCCAGCCTCTCTGCTTTGAAGTGTCTCCGGCAGCTCACACCCAGCATCGGAGACCTGTTAGGGCCAGAGACCTCTCAGTGGGGAGGGGAGACTCGGGGGGGCAGAAGGGAGTGTGGTATCAAGAGAAGGGAGTGCAGGGGCAAATGGAGGTCATGGAAGGGTGAGGAAGGGTGGAAGGGTCAAACTTGAAGGACACGATAACACGTGATACAATAACTTGGTTTATCATTTTAATTCTCTGAGAATTAAAAACTTTAAAAACATTTTTAAAAATTGGTAGGCTCGTGAAGAGATCAAGGGCACTGCCTTTGTATTGGGATTTGCTTATGAGTTTGGGGGGGCTGGGAAGAGAAAAGCAAACATGGGAGAGGTGAAGTTCACAGTAGGGAGATGATGAAGTTTAGAGGCTTTGTTGGCAGTCTGGCTGTGAGTGTGGCTGAACCTGCAGAACCAGCCCATTTGGGGCGGTGGGGAGGGGGGCGGATAGGAAAGGCTGTATCCTGGAACCACTGCAGAAAGGACTTATAAAATCATTTTACGCTGTGTTCTTTTCTGCAGCATCCTGACTTTGAGAGACTACGTACTTGACCTAGGTCACCCCTATTTGTGGGTACAAAAGCTGGGTGGCCTCCACTTCCCCAAAGAGCAGCCCCAGGTGTGTACACTGATCCATTCTCCTTGGCTGAGGATCTCTACTTCCTCATCTCCTGTACAGACTCCAGAAAGCCTTCTGATGGCCTTTGGGGGCTTTAAATTATCAGAACGCTTTCCCTCCAGGCTATGATCTGTCCTTCCTCCACTCAGGATACTAAAATGTCTGAGGCCTACAAGTGTTTAGGTACCTTTTGCCTTCTCCCTGAGCCTAATAGCTCTATTGATCAAAGTCACTTGGGTCCTTGCTCTGGGTGCAGCATGGCTCCAGGCCCTGCCACCCCTCAGTTTTATGTACAAAGATGACAAAAATGAGGTGTCAGCAGAACCCCAGGGGATCTGGCATCTTAGCAGAAGCCTTTCTCAGGAGCTGGCCAGCCTCTCAAGAACCCAGTGGCTTATATTGTTCCTGCTGGAACTCAGCATCAGGCCTGTCATGGCCGGCAAACTCTGCCATTTCCATAAGATACCCATTCCAGGGTGTGGGTAGTCCCAGCTGCCATAGGCACTCAGGGCATAGGAGAGAGGAAGTGCCTGGAGGAAGGGACGGAGCACTCAGGTGTGCTGCTCACTGTCGTCCACAGCACACGGTGATTGCTGACCACTCGCTGAGCGCCAGCCACATGGAGACCACCATGAAACTGCTGAAGACCAGGGTGCAGTCCCGCCTGGCCCTTCATAAACAGTTTGCATCCCTGGGTAAGCTCGTGTTAGGACTGTGGCTTAAGGGCCACTTGGACAACAGAGACAAAGATGACTTATCCTTCCCTCAGATTTCTTAAATCCTGATGACACATCAAAGAGGACTTGGTTCCTGGCTCTTGCTGAGCACAGGTGTTGGCAGGGCCACTGGGGAGAGCTACAAGCCCTTCCAGGCAGAGATCTGGAGCTCCCCTCAGGGCCATCAGGGTTGTCCTACCTCACAAAAGAGGCCCAAAGCCTTCTGGGTGGTCCAAGTTAGTGGACTGCTCAGGAACAGCTTATTCTAGGTTAGCGCATGTCAGCCTTTGGTGTCCATTCTACAGATATTTAGTAGAAGCCCGGAACATGCTTTGTAGAGCTTATATTTAGCTTATTTGAGTACAGCTGTTCAGGGATCCACCACCTCATCCCTCCCCTGAGACCTACTGAGCTACCATCCTCCATGGTGAGGTTGAACCCCAGTGTTTTTCATAAGTTCCCAGGTGATTCTGATGAGCCATTGACCATGGGGTGGCCCATTGGGTGTTTCTCTTCATTCAGTAAATACTTGTCAAGGGTTTACCATGCATAAGGCAATTGTGGGGTAGTGAGAGTTAAGATCTTTCTGATCTAAAATAGTCGCTGTCAGGAAAGGCATTGGGTTTCTGGGACCCATCTAGAGACCGTTCCCCTTTGGGGCAGTTCTTGCATCCCATGTGAACCCAGATGTCTCCAGGACAGCATTGCTATTGGGCTTGCTCCCCAACAGCATTGCTCAACCTGTTTTGTCCCAAGGTTGGATGATTGTCATCCAACACGTTTACTGTGTTGGCATATTTGTGGAATGAAGCGCCAGCAAGATTTTGCCCAGGAGCAGTTCTCTAGCTCTCCTCCCTTAGAGAAACTGACAGAGAACACTTCAGTCATTTCCTCCATCAAGGTCAGCTATGCAAACAGCCCTCTTGGCTATTTGATCTAATTAACAGTCATTGCTGCAGAGGCACTATCACTGGTTCTGGCTGCCAGGGGGCTTTTGTTTTGCTGGCTGTCATTTGCATTAAAGATAAAGCACCGTGAAAGCTGGTGCTAGGTCTGGCCACAAGCACATAGCACCCGGGGAAGGTCAGATTGGTGTGCCTGCATTCCTAGCACGTGTTGACCAGGGCAGCTACGGAATGCCTCCTGTACCTGGACAGCTGGTAGGGCCATCTGAGCCCTCCAGATACTGGTTACCCAGTGTGGCACCTGATTGCTACCCGTATACCACGTATCTTGCTCTCTTTTAGAACATGGCATTGTACCAGTTACCAGTGATTGCCAGTGCCTCTTCCCTGCAAAGGTTGTCTCCCGCCTGGTGAAGTGGGTGACAATTGCCCATGAGGATTACATGGTAAGTGGAGGAGTGACAGGTCACCCTTGCCGTCCCAAAGACCCATATCACCCTTTAGCTCCTGCCCTTCCAGCAGGGGATTTGACTGGAGAATCCAGGAGTTCACTCCTCTGTGGGGACTTCTAGGAGCTGCATTTCACCAAGGACATTGTGGAGGCGGGACTGGCTGAGGACACCAATCTCTACTACATGGCACTTGTGGAAAGGGGCACAGGTAATTGCTGTTCTGATCATGGTGGTAGGCAAGGGGAGCCAGTAAGAATAAAACATTCCTGGATGCCTGGGTGGCTCAGTCAGTTAAGCATCTGCCTTTGGCTCAGGTCATGATCCCAGGCTCCTGGGATTGAGTCCCACATGGGGCTCCTTGCTCAGCGGGGAGCCTGCTTCTCCCTCTCCCTCTGCCTGCCGCTCCCCCTGCTTGTGCTCTCTCTCTCTCTCCCTCTGACAAATAAAATCTTAAAAAAAAAAAAAAAAGGAATAAAACATTCCCGAGGGTTGTCCAAAGAAAGCAAAAGATCCTAGAATCCTGCTGGGGTGACTTAGCAAATAGTAATGATTGTAAGAACCACCGTTCAGTGAGGACTTGTTCTGTAACACAGCTGCATACATGTTTTATCTCATTTAATCCTCATGACAGTGCGTGCTGGGAGTGGTAATACAGGTATCCCCGTTTTCCTGAAGCTTGCATTCTACCACTTTGCTTTTAAAAAAAACCTACATTAATATCTGTTTTTGCTAACCAAAAGAAAGGAGGATTTTCACTTTTGCAAAAAAAGTCATCACTAATGTAGGTCTTTTGTAAAAGTAAATGGCATTAATGTTCAGAATGTGGGGGATGCCCCTTGTTTTATACCCGTTTGGCTTATGAAAGGTTTCATAGCAACGCTCTACTTTTGGATAAAAGGGGAAACCTGTATTTCCATTTTATTTTATTTTTTTTAAACTTTTTTATTGTTATGTTAATCGCCATACATTACATCATTAGTTCTTGATGTAGTGTTCCGTGATTCGTTGTTTGTGCATAACACCCAGTGCTCCCCGCAGAACGTGCCCTCCTTAATACCCATCCCCAGGCTAACCCATCCCCCCACCCCCCTCTCCTCTAGAACCCTCAGTTTGTTTTTCAGAGTCCATCGTCTCTCGTGGCTCGTCTCCCCCTCCGACTTACTCCTCTTCATTCTTGTATTCCCATTTTATAGGTGAGCACATTGAGGCTTAGTCACAAGTGCAGCCTGACCTCTTAGCCCTTTGCTTTATCATTTTATCATTCTCTAAAAGCAGATACCTGTTCTTCCTCCTCTTCACAAAAGGGCTGACTTGTTCTCAGGTTGTGAAGTGCAGGGTGGCAGGACCTTCCTCCCCATCTGTTCCTGTACTCACTTTGGAGGCATCAAAAACTATGATTTCTCACAGCTGTTCTGGCGTCTAATTTGCCGAGGCTTCCTGTGGAGCCAACCAGGTGCTGCCTATGGAGCTGTTTTCTGGCTCCTGCCTCGGCAAGCCTGGCACTGCCCACAGGATCTGGCCCCTGGGGCTTGGTGCTATGGCTGCAGAGCTGAGGGATTGTCTGTGATTCTAAGACACTGCGAGAAATATTAGGAAAGGGTGCACTCTCTGATGTTAGAGTTTCTCTGTCCTGTGGTTTCTTCCCTTCTTTTTTTCTTTGGTTTTAAAATACTCTGAGGAAATTAACTGTTTTAGATATAGTTGAGGTTCCCTGAGGCCATTCTCTCCCTCAGGATAGGTGACTGCTATTTGGAATTTGTATATTTGTTTCCCATCCTTTTCCCTTTAAAAAATGTTTTTACCTTGTCCCTACATAACATAGAATACTGTTTTGAAAGGGCACGAAATATGTAGTCCGAGAAATTTATAAAGCCCCAAGTGTGGGAAGTCACTGGAAGACATCATTCTGCTTCTTGGTTGAGGAAATTAAAGCTCGTAAAGATAGTAAGTGTTCTAGATCCATCGGAGCGAATGTAATAAATAAAATTTTCATTAAGATGCATTGTAAAATTTGAAAATTTAAGAGTGAAATTTAAATGAATAAGTGGGCAGCAATTCCAAAAAATATAAGTCATTTTACAACATGGATTAAAAAAATTGGTGAATAGAGATAAATGCAGGAATATATGCCAACTGTTAACGACACAAATAATACAGCAGCAGAGAAAGGACTCACTTTTTAATTTTTTTAATTTTATTTAAATTCCGCTAATTAACTGTAGTGTATTGGTTTCAGAGGTAGAGTTCAGTGATTCATCAGTTGCGTATAATACCCATTGCTCCTTACATCATTTGCCCTCCTTAATGTCGATCCCTCAGTTACCCCATCCCCCCACCCGCCTTCCCTCTAGCAACCCTCAGTTTGTTTCCCTATACTTAAGAGTCTCGTATTGTTTGTCTCCCTCTCTGATTTCATTTTACTTTATTTTTCCCTCCCTTCCCCTATGATCCTCTGTTTTGTTTCTCAAATTCCACATATGAGTGAAATCATATAATTTTCTTTCTCTGATTGATTTATTTCACTTTGCATTATACCCTCTACTTCCATCCACATCATTGCAAATGGTAAGATTTCATCTTTCTGATGGCTGAGTAATATTCCATTGCATGTATATATTATATATATATACACACACCACATCTTCTTTATCCATCTGTCAGTTGACATCTTGGCTCTTTCCATAGTTTGGCTATTGTGGACATTGCTCCTATAAACATTGGGATGCAGGTGCCCCTTCGGGTCACTATGTATCCTTTGGGTAGGACTCACTTTTTTTTTTTTTTAATTTTTTTTAGGACTCACTTTTTAATAAATGTGGTTGCAACTGTCAGGGAAGTATTGTCTTAATCTATACTCTCTTGTCCTCTGTTATTTGAATTACTAGTGTGTCACAGTTCTTTTTCTTCCCCATAAATAATGAAAAAGGAATGGCATACTTCACCCCTTGGTAGAAAGGGTAAATGTCATCCTGTGGAGAAAGGCAGAGGGTGTCACCAGAGATAAAATGAGTATGTTAAAAAAATACAACTATTTTGGGGGGGTGGGAGGGACGGGGTGGCTGGGTAATAGACATTGGGGAGGGTATGTGCTATGGTGAGCGCTGTGAATTGTACAAGACTGTTGAATCACAGATCTGTACTTCTGAAACAAATAATGCAATATATGTTAAGAAAAAAAAGAAAAGAAGAAGATAGCAGGAGGGGAAGAATGAAGGGAGGTAAATCGGAGGGGGAGACAAACCATGAGAGATGATGGACTCTGAAAAATAAACTGAGGGTTCTAGAGGGGAGGGGGTGGGGGGATGGGTTAGCCTGGTGATGGGTATTGAAGAGGGTACGTTCTGCGTGGTTCACTGGGTGTTATGCACAAACAGTGAATCATGGAACACTACATCAAGAACTAATGATGTAATGTATGGTGATTAACATAACAGTAAAAAATTTAAAAAATACAACTATTTTCAGGGGCACCTGGTGGCTTAGTCAGTTAAGCGTCTGCCTTCAGCTCAGGTCATGATCTCAGGGTCCTGGGACCGAGCCCCGACTCGGACTTCCTGCTCAGCGAGGAGTCTTCTTCTCCCTCTCCCTCTTCCCATCCCCACTGCTTGTGCATGCTCTCTCTCTCTCTCATAATAAAGTCTTTAAAAAAAAATACAACTATTTTCTATAAGGAATATGAATTTATAGCTTTGATATCAGACAGTTCTAGTTAAACTCAGCACTGCTGCTTTGCAACTGTTTGATCCTAAGGAAATTTCTGTCAGAGTCTCAATTTCTTTATATATAAAATGGGGATGGTAATAATGGTACCCATCTCATAGAATCATTTCTAGAATGAAATATAATGTGTAAAGAGGAGTTTAACACAGTACTTGGAATACAGTAAGTACTCAATATATGTTGGCTATTTAAAAGTTTCACATAACAAAATACATAAAAAGAAAACAGAATAGAGAGAGTATATTTGATGTAATAGCTAATACACAATATCGTTGGAAAGAAAAAACATAGCCTTCACATGGGAAAATCCTTAGCTTGCTGGCAAAGAAAAATGCCAATTAACACAAACTTCTGTCAAAGGAGCAAATAAAACTCTTGGGCAGACCCAGTGTGGACCAGATTCTGGGGAGTCTACACACCTCTGCATCCTTGAAGGGTACTAGAGTCACAGGACCTCACATTCTGCAACCTGACAGTTCTGCTTTGGAGATTGTAGAACAAAAATAAAAGTCAATTAGTACCAGAATGTGCTGCTCAATACTCAAATTAATACAAGACAAAGAGCTAGCCTTGGGTCTAGTGGGGAGGGCCCATGGCTGGCAAACTCAGTCTCAGAACTGATTTTTCCTCCTTACTCCCTTCCCAGCCAAACTCCAGGCTGCTGTGGTGCTGAACCCTGGATACTCCTCCATCCCACCCATTTTCCAGCTCTGTCTGAACTGGAAAGGGGAGAAAACCAATAGCAACGATGACAACATTCGGGTAAGACCCTGCTGGGGTGAAGGAAAGAGCGGGGAGAGCCTCCTTGGGAGGGGGAGGGCAGTGGCAGAAGCTACAGCAGCTGAGAGCTTGGCCACTGGCATAATTCCAGGGACAGAGGGGCCTGCCAGGATTTGTAGAATTTGCTGGAGGCTGTATGGTGTAGTTGAAGAAAAAGTCTAGCCCCATATTAACCACTTACCTAGCTTGGGGTCACCCCATTTTAAAATGAGGATAATATAAAGCCTTGCCTTGAAAGGTTGTTGTTGTTTTGGGCTCCTGTGGAAATGTGAATAAACTCAGAAGCATGGAAGTGCTGGAATGAGATGGTGTATGAGATCATTGTAACTATTAATTATCATCATACCTGTTGATTTGATTCCGTAGTGGCCTTCTGGCTACGATCATGTTTTTAATGCTAATACTTTCTGACTTAGATCTTGAGATTTCTTCTCTACACACCTCCATCTTCTTGACTGTGAAAATATTGGGCAGGGAAAGTTATGGGTCACAATCAGGAAGACCCTGTTGTCCTGAGACTCAGGACAAACCTATCCGGTTTGATCTGGTGTGACCTAGCTCCTACGGAGGCCCGGCTACAGTTCCTGTAGAGCTGTCAGACCCAGCCAGTCTGAAGGTAGTGCTGAGTTTCTGGCTTTCCCACTCCTTAGGCCATGGAGAGTGAGGTCAACGTGTGCTACAAGGAGCTGTGCGGCCCCCGGCCCAGCCATCAGCTCTTGACCAACCAGCTGCAGCGCCTGTGTGTGCTGCTGGATGTCTACCTGGAGACTGACAGCCATGACGACAGCGTGGAGGGGCCCAAGGAGTTTCCCCAGGAGAAGATGTGTCTGCGGCTTTTCAGGTAAGGGGAGGGGTGGGGGCTCTGGGGCTCTGGAGGTCTCCAGTCCTGCCTCTTTCAGGGACTGGGGCAGAGATCAGAGCCTGGCATGGAGGGCATGCTTGTTCTTAGGTGTACTTGTCTCTGTTCACAGTGGAAATAAAATTCTGTAGCCAAATTTTCTGGGGAGGGCTTTCTCCTTCTTTCCTGAAACTTTCCCTACAGCCCACTTCCTACCGTCCTGGTCCAGTTGTTCTTCCTGAGCACCTCTGAAGGTCAGCCACGTACTGAGTGAGCAGCACCAGACCACGAACCAAAAGGATTTAGCTGAACTTCCTGTGTTGTTTTTTTTTTTTTGGAAAACAACAGGTTTTGCTTTTTACTGTCGAAATAAGCTTTTAAAGCTAGGTGGAAAGCCCCACCAGTCCCAGAGTCTGCCATATTCTTCCTAGGATGCTCACAAGTCTATGAGAATGGCAGCTCTAGGCAGTCGGGCATCACCGAAGGAACCAGCTCTGAAGTAAGACAAATACAAGTACAGGTTGCTGCTTTGCTGCTCACCAGCTGTGTGACCTTGGCAGAGTCACTTCAGCTTGGGACCTATTTCCTAAAGGCTGACATGGAAGTATACTGTCTGGCTATAATTTCACGTAAGCTATGAGAATGGTTCCTGGCACAGACAGGGGCTCACAAAATGCCGTTAGGTCATGACAACTTGGTGTTTAGTGTGTCTGTGCTCATGGCCCTTCTCGGTACTTTTCCATTCACTTTGGTCAGGTCCTTTCTCTCCCTTTTATCCCCTAACACATGTTCTTGTTCCTTTTTTTTCTTTTTAAGATTTTATTTATTTGTTTGACAGAGCACAAGCAAGGGGAGTGACAGGGAGAGGGAGAAGCAGGCTCCCCACTGAGCAGGGAGCCTGACACGGACTCGATCCCAGGACCCTGGGATCATGACCCGAGCCAAAGGCAGATGCTTACCTGACTGAGCCAGCCAGGCGCCCCACATATTCTTGTTCTTAAGGAGTCAGTTTCAAAACTCTGGAGTCCACACTGTTAGGCATCCCTTCCCTTTTGAGCAAGCAGCTGGGGAGGAATGGTGTCTGGGAGAGGGGAAGGGCTATAATCTGTTTCTAACTGGTACATCCCCCCCCATTCCCTGTCAGTCTAAAGGTGCCTTACCTGCCCCTCACCTTCTTCTCGGACAGCCAGTACCAGCCCCTGGAAGCTGTGCCAGCATCCTCCCACCTCTGTCTGGCACCTGTACCTGGCCTGGTTCTTCATGTTATCTGAGAATAACCAGTTCCAGCCCCCAAGTGGCTGCTGGGAGGCAGAGCTGGCGGCTAGATGTTGATAGCTTCTAGGACTTGCTCTCCCTAGTGGGTCTGTGTGAGAACTCAGTTCTTCCCACCCTCCCAGCCTGCTGTAACACATTTCCAGTGTGGAATCTCTCACATGGCCAGTGTTTATTTTCTGTTATCTAATGGTTCCCAAAGGATCTGTTTCCTGAAGTGCTTTGTGTGTCACCCAGGCTGGGCTCCTCTATCAGGGCATTCTGGGATGGTGCTCCTTTGGCTACTCAGATCCAGTTGACTCCGTGACTGGTTAGATGTGTTTCTAGGCCTGGAGCCCAGCTGACCACTGGTATCAGGCCAAGGGGCTGGGCTGCAAAGTACTGGCCTGGCAGCAGGAGACTGGAGGTCTGGTTCTGCCTGTGGCTGGCTACTTTCAGGCTGTGGGTTCTCCATTAGCCACATGCCTAGACTTGCCCAGGTGATTCTGTGCCCTTCTGATGTTGGGAGGTATATATCATTATGGTTATGAGCAAGGGCTTTGGGGCCAGAAAGACGTGGGTTCAAATTGCAGCTCCTACCTATGTGATGAGGGTCTACACTTAGCCCCGAGCTTCAGATTCCTCATTGGTGAAAAAACAGCATCCACCTCAGGTACTGTTGGGAGGATGAAATTAAACCAGATGTAGTGTGTAAAGTGCTAAATACAATGCACACAGAGTAAGCCCTCACTTAAGTAAGTGGTTGCATTGGTGTTGGAATAAAAACCTTTCTCTCATCTCTATAATCACACACGCACATATCTCTCCTTCACACTGAGATCCAGGGTATCACCTTTCAAGTTACCACTGAATGTCAATCATAGCAGACAAAAGAGGCCCTTTAAGATGGACATCATTCACTATGGAGTTGGGTAGAAGAAGTCCCTGTGTGAAGTTTTGCCTGGGGGCCCAGGATTATAGCTGAAGTACCTTAGCTTCAGAGGGTTGAGGTTGGGCCATGATTGTCAGCCTGCCTGTGGCCAGTAGGCTTTGATGTTAGTCCTGGTTTTGAAGTTGAGCCCTGTATTTTCTGACCATAAAATCTCGGGCGGTTTACCTCCCTGAGCCTGTTTCTTCTATCTGTAAAATCTATAAAGTGGTAGGAATAGTATCTAAGAGGTAGTTAAGTATAAAGCACATAGCTCTTGACAGGTACTTAGTGCAGATTCTTTTCACTCCTGTTTACGTGGGAATCTCCCTGCAAAGGAGGATTTTAAGATTTAATTCTTTTCTTTTTATAGAAATAAAATAGGGACGCCTAGGTGGCTTAGTCGGTGAAGCGTCAGCCTTTGGCTCAGGTCATGATCCTGGGGTTCTGGAATTGAGCCCCTCATTGGGCTCCCTGCTCAGCGGGGTGTCTGTTTCTCCCTCTGCTCCACCCCCCTGCTCCTGTGTACTCCCTCACTCTCTCTCTCTCTCTCTCCTCTCTTCTCAAATAAAAGCTTAAAAAAAATATGTTTGTTATACAAACAACAATGAGCAGTTCTGTAAAAACACTAAAAAATGAGGGTCTCCAGAAGTGCCTGTTGTCAGTGAGGCCCTTTCCAGGTTTGTGTTCATGCATCTGCAAGCATACATTTTCACCAAAACAGTATCACACCTTACATGTGGTTTTACAGTCTGCTTTTCTCACAATGTTCGTTTTTTACCCCCCAACAGCTGCAGTTTTCCCTTATGTGGATGAATTGTAATTTATTTTGTCAGCCCAAAGGGCACGGTTTTAACTGATCTTCCTTCTCCTGTTTCTTTAGGGGTCCCAGCAGGATGAAGCCATTTAAATATAACCATCCTCAAGGATTCTTCAGCCATCGCTGACCTCCCACTCAGCCTGTTGTCTCCCCCTATGCCCGAAGTGCTGTGCCTCTATTTTCTGCTTTGGCCCACATGTGGCTCTTGATATTCTCCAAAGACAGGTTTTTTTTATTTTTTATTTCTAGCCTATTAAAGTGTCACTTGACCAGGTGGCCTTTGTCTTGTGGCTCCCTGAGGATGAGGGGGGTGGGTTTGCAGTCTGGAAGGGCAGTTGGGGGCCATGGCAGAGTGTGAAAGAGTTTTTGTGGATAGGCTTTCTTTAGGTGGCGAAGAAAAGCAGAATGCAGAAGATTCTGAGTCTGTAGAAAGATGCTGCCCTCTTATCCCCACTCATCTTTCTTGTTCCTGCTTTGGGAGAGCCTCATTATTTTGGTGTTTATTACCCTAAGTCCCTGCTGTTAGGAGGTGGCAGGGAAACCCAAGTGAGCGTAGCCCAAAAAACAAAACTTCTTCTATCCCCTCCTCTCATTTCCTCCACTAACTTTGTCAGTGCCTTCATTGGCCAGATTCTCTCTGATTGTTGGATTTTATAAACATCTGACAGTGCAGCACAAAGAGAAGACAGATATAAGGAATAATTGTAAATATTGCAACATTTTGTGAAGTCAGAATGGTGTTGGAGAATCACATGTAAAGCTACCCATCTCGTGAGGCTCTGGCAGAGTGAGACCAGGTGCCATTGAGGAGAGTCTTCATGGTGAGGACATGATAATTGCCTCAAAAAATAATGGTTTGACTCTCAGAGAATTAAGAGAAGTCCTAGGGAAATCGATAAAACCGTCTAAAATATTTTCAAATGACCTCCTTTATCATTCTGCAAAAGTCAAAGTGAAGGAGTTTTTGGTCAAAGTAAAGTGTTCTTGGACAGTTTTGTCAGAAAAATTATTCCCCATCTCCAAAAAAAAAATCCGTATTCATTATTTGTTTAAGAAATAAGATATAAAGCTGGAAAAATATTTAAGAATTATTACAGGGGCACCTGGGTGGCTCAGTCATTGAGTGTCTGCCTTCGGCTGGGGTCGTGATCCCAGAGTTCTGGGATCAAGCCCCACGTCAGACTCCCTGCTGAGCAGGTAGCCTGCCTCTCCATCTCCCTCCTGCTTGTGCTCTCTGTCTGTTTCCCTCTCTCTCAAATAAATAAAATCTTAAAAAAAAAATTATTACATACTTGGGGCACCTGACTGGCTCAGTCAGAAGAGCATGTGACTCTTGATCTCAGGGTCATGAATTCAAGCCCCATGTTGGGTGTAGAGATTACTAAAAAATAATAATAATAAACTTTAAAAAAAAGAATTATTACATACTTGTAAGTATAATCTACAGTTTTTCAACTACAAGAAGAAAATCTCTTGTAGCCCATTTTTTTTTTAAGATTTTTACTTATTTATTGAGAGAGAGAGAGAGCATTAGAGGGAGGAGGGTCAGAGGGAGAAGCAGACCCCCTGCTGAGCAGGGAGCCCAATGTGGGGCTTGATCCTGGGACTCCAGGATCATGACCTGAGCCGAAGGCAGTTGCTTAATCAACTGAGCCACCCAGGCACCCTGTAGCCCATTTTTAATATATATAAAGTTTATTTTTTGTGACAGTCCCAATCGAGTGGCTTTTTTCTCCCACCATGTACTTTGAACTTTGCTCCCCATCATGTATATGTTCGTTCTCCATGGACTTTTACTGATGATCCTTGGATAATATGGGCCTCTGGTATAAGAGCTGTTTTTTTTTTTTTTAAAGATTTTATTTATTTACTTGACAGAGAGAGACACAGCGAAAGAGGGAACACAAGCAGAGGGAGTGGGAGAGGGAGAAGCACGCTTCCCGCGGAGCAGGGAGCCCGATGCGGGGCTCGATCCCAGACCCCGGGATCATGACCTGAGCCCAAGGCAGACGCTTAACGACTGAGCCACTCAGGCGCCCTAAGAGCTATTTCCTTCTGTTCTCTCAGCGGATCACTGAGCATCCCAGTGATAAGGATTTCCTGAGAAAGAACTAGGAGACCCCTGGGACTGCCAAGCCCTTCATTTTACAGATGGAAGCCTGAGCCCTTGAAGAAAGGAAAATGTCACCTCTGATGGCTTTTTTTTTTTAAGATTTTATTTATTTGACAGAGACAGAGCGAGAGAGGGAACACAAGCAGGGGGAGCAGGAGAGGGAGAAGCAGGCTTCTCATGGAGCAGGGAGCCCAATGCAGGGCTCGATTCCAGGACCCTGGGATCATGACCTGAGCCAAAGGCAGACGCTTAACAACTGAGCCACCCAGGCGCCCCTCTGGTGGCTGTTTTAATGACTGCCACCACCTCTGCCTCTCCTCCTCAGCCTGTATCATTCCTTTGAATACTCTCCTGCCCAGTGGGCCTCAGACTTCAGTATGTGTGAATCCCCCATCCCAGGAGGGGATTAGAAACAGATTCCCATGCCTCACTCTAATATTCAGTCTTCGTTGACCTAAGATGGGCCCAGGAAGTATATTTTTAACGAGCTCCCCAGGTGCACGTTGCCCTAGTCTCTTTTTGGAAGTGGCTGTACTTTCTTCCCTCATTTTTCTTGGTGACTCCTCATATAAAGCAGGAGGGCCCGATTCTCTGCAAGCAGCTCCCCATCTTCTGTCTTCCGTACCTTGGGCAGCATTGTGAACCTCCCTCCATGTGCTTCTTTCTTTCCACATAGTGGGATCTCCTTGTCTTTTCCCTGACCTACTTGCCTGGACTCTGTCCCTGCCAGCATCCCCTTGGTCTGGCCACCTTCAGGCCCTCTGTCTCACCGCCTGTGCTGAATAAGATTGAAATAGGGCCTAAAAATAGTTCCTTTAATGGCCCCTGCATTGCAGCCTCCACTGTTCTTGGCTGGAAGGCAGCCAAACTGACTCAGCACAAAAGCTTGTCTCTGATAGCTGGGACAAGGTTGCAAAGATGGCTTGTGAGCGCTGGGGAAAGGCTCTGCTTTCTGGGTAGGGGATGTCAGAGTCTGTCACCCTCCAGAAGAGATTTTCCCTCTTCAAAGGAGATGGCCAAACAAAGGAATCTTTTGGCCATAAGGAGAAGGGTTTTCAAACTAGCCAGAAGCACAGGACAGTCCAGCCCCTTTGAGCTACTTCAAAGGCATTTGTGCTTCCGGTTGGCAGATTAGGAGAAGGGCCTGGCTTGGGAGGACCTTGAAGCTTTCTCCTCAACCAGAATTGGACTTGACCTTCCCTGGGGCACATCCCAGAGAGCAGTCCCTTTCTGTCATCCTCCCACACCAGGGACCCAGCCTAGGTTTTTTATCTTATTTTTTTATTTATTATTTTAAATTGAATTGAATTGAAATTTTTTAAAGTAATCTCTATGCCCAACACGGGGCTTGAACTCACCACCCTAAGCTCAAGTCACATACATGCTCTACCAACTGAACCAGCCAGGTGTCCCTCCTTGCCTTTGTAAAGCTACCATCCACTTTCTTGATTTCTTTGTATATTCTAGTTTCTCCTTTATTTTCTTCCCAGCTTGCTCTCTCCTGTTTTCTTTGCAAATAAATCCAAAAGCCTCTTTTTATTTTAAGGGTGTTCCTGCTGATCACTGTGGGAAAATGGCTACAAGTCCTATCCATGGGAAAGAGTAGAGCTGCCAGACTGCCAAAGGAACTTTCTCCCTGTCTGTAGCCCCAGCTCTGTCCTTTCCATGGTATTCAGCGGTCTCTCCATTGAGAACAGGTGTTAAGCATCTATTTTGGGTCAGGCCCTGCTAGTCACAATTTTCCATTCACCGTCCTATTTAATTACAACAGGCCACCAAGAATACACGTTCCCTTCATTTTTACAGATGAGGAAACTGAAGCTCAGAGGGTTAAATGACGTGTCTGTGCCCACAGGCTCCCTTGAGCTGCACACCCAGGGTGAGCCCTCAGCAGGTCTGTCTGCTTCTAAGACTTTACTTTTTATAAGAGTAGCTCTGGACCCAGCATAGTTTCAGGCTGGCACTCTCTCTGGGCCATTTGTTCATTTCAGCAACACAAGTACACCAAGAGCACCATGGTGGTCAAGAGTTACAGCTTAGGGGTGCTTGGGTGGCTCAGTCGGTTGGGTGTTTGCCTTTGGCTTAGGTCATGATCTCAGGGTCCTGGGATCAAACCTGCTTCTCCCTCTCCCTCTGCTGCTCACCCTGCTCGTGCTCTCTCTCAAATAAATAAAATCTTTGAAAAAAAAAAAAGTTACAGCTTAGTGTCAGGCTAATCTATCAGGTCCTTGTTCCACACTTGAGCAACTGTACAACCTTGGGCAGGTTGCTTGACTCGCTCTAAGCTTTCGGGGTCCCCATCTACAACTGGGAGTGGTTGTAGAGATTAAGCATCAACTCTCAGCACCATGCCCAACACCTAGCATTGCTCAGCAAAGGGGAAAGATTCTTATCCTTGCTCTCCAGGTTTCAGCCTGGAGAAAGGGCCTCTTAAATGAGGAAGGCCTTTGCTACCTGATGCGTCATTCCCTGGCCAGAGGGTTCCCAGGCTGTGGAAGCCCAGCTCTCTCTGGTCCAGTCCTTCCTTGCCAGCAGCTCTTCCATCAGTCATGGCTAAACTGGGCTCTGTCCACAGTTGGAGTCAAGCTCTCATTACCTGTCACTAGGCCAACCACAGCCCATTAGCCACACATCTGTTCCCTGCTGTCTGTGGGCCTGTGTCCTGGTTCCCACCAGAGGGTCACCTCAACTTCCTGGACTCTTGCCACACCTTCTTCTAACTTGGCTTTCTCACCACCTCCACAGATGACCTAAACGGAGAAAGGAAACAACACTACCCACTGGGGCTGGTGGAAGACCCTCAGAGTACATTTGTGCAGTGATTGAATGGATGGGGGTATCCCAAAATACTTTAAAGATGGACCCAGTCTAACAAGTTGAGATATAAAGTCCTACATGAAGGACATAAAACCAGTCACAGGACCAGTACAGTATTTACCTCCCAGTGTATACAGAATAGCCACTCACGGGCTGGGTGTTTTGTATTTTCCAATCTCATATCTATGTTTGTTTTCTTACTTTGTTTTGTACACCATAGTGTACAAAATTCTTAATTTGATTTCGGTAATAAGTAATTCATTCACAAGATTAAGAAACCAGAAAGCATAAGAAGCGAAAGTAAGTACAATGAAAGGTTTTACTGTCAATCTTACCCCCACCTGCCCAGTTCCCATCTCTCTCACAAATCAGCAACCAACTTGCTTACTTTCTTTTGTATCCTTTCAAATTCTTTAAGCAAACACAAATTATTTTTCCATTTTTGGGCAAAACAACATACTACATACGTTGTTTTGCATCTTGATTTTTTTCTTGTCTTAGACATTTTTCCATATCAGTGCAGATATAAAGAGCTTTCTCATTCTTTACAGCTGCATACTATTCCATTCAATGGGTGTACCATATTTATTAGTTCTTTTAATTCTTTTTTAAAATATTTTATTTATTTATTTATTTGATAGAGGACATGCAGGGGGAGTGGAAGGCAGAGGGAGAAGCAGATTCCCCGCTGAGCAGGCAGCCCGATGTGGGTCTCGATCCCAAGACCCTGGGATCATGACCTGAGCCAAAGGCAGACGCTTGACCGACTGAGCCACCCAGGCGTCCCGATATATAATTTTTTAAACAAAAAAGAATTTATTGACTTGAGTAACTAAGAAGTTTACTGGATGACTTCAGGCACAGCTCAATTTGGCTGTTTAAGTGGTGTCATCAGGACTTAAACACTGGCTGTAATTCCAAGGTGCTTTCTTTGCTGTTGGTTTATTCTCAGGGTGGCCTTTGGCAGAGCTTCTTTTTACCAGTAGCTTCTACAACAATACCGGAATTGGCTTTCGTTGGATAGACTTGGAACACATGTAAATTTCTGAACTAATCACAGAGGCCAGGGGACAGTATACCATGCACCATGCCTGACACATGTACATCTCTGGGTCCTGGGTCCATGGACACCCAAACCACATGGCCTATATTAGGTTTCTGTGGGTGCTGCAACAATTTACTACAAATGTAGTGGCTTAAAACAACACAAATTGGGGTGCCTGAGTGGCTCAGTCGTTAAGTGTCTTGCCTTCGGCTCAGGTCATGATCCCAAGGTCCTGGAGTTGAGTCCCGCATCGGGCTCCCTGCTCAGCGGGAAGCCTGCTTCTCCCTCTCCCACTCTCCCTGCTTGTGTTCCCTCTCTCGCTGTCAAATAAATAAATAAAATCTTAGACACACACACACACACGCAAATTGAGTCTCTTAACTATTCTGGAGGCCAGAAGTCAAATCAATTTCACTGGGCTAAAGTCAAGATTTTGGTAGGGCTGGTTCCTTCTGGAGGCTCAAGGACAGAATATTTCCTTACTTTTTCCAGCTTCTAGAGTTGGCTTGTGGTTCATTCCTCCATCTTGAAAGTGCATCACTCCAGTCTCTGCTTCTATCATCCCATCACTTCCTCCTCCAACTCTGACACCTGCTCCCTCTAGTGAGGAGCCTTGTGATGACAATGGACCCATCCGGATAAACCAGGTAATCTCCCATCTCAAAATCCTTGACTTAATCGCATCTACGAAGTCCTTTATGCCATATATGGTAACATTCACAGGTTCCAGGGATTAGGACATGAATATCTTTGGAGGACCATTATTCACCCTATTACATGGCCTGAGTGGGGAGATGTTTCACTTTTCATCAGAAAAAAAGAGAATGGAAGCTGTAGAGGCAAAAGCCAATGGAGACCCACTAGGATGGAACATAAGACATTTTATTATGCAACCATTTGTGTTTTACTCTTCAGTACTTGTTTTCCCACTAGTCTGCGTGCTCCAGAAAAGGCAGAAACACACTTCTATTTTGCTCGCCTCTATATCCCGAAGGCCTTGCACAAGGTTGATACACAACAGGAGACCAATAAACATTTCTTGAATGAATTAATACATGAAGTTTAGAGTCTGTGAGGAGAAGATTAAAGTGAAACGTTAAATTTAATAAGTAAACCAGATTTGGGACAGGCAGAAAGCTATTTTTATAATCATTAATGTACTGTGTAAGGCTGACATTTATATATGACTGTTAAAGAATCTTCAGGCTTTAGCAAAAAACAAGCAACATGGTGCGCCTGGGTGGCTCAGTTGGTTAAGCGTCTGCCTTCGGCTCAGTTCATGATCCCAGGGTCCTGGGATAGATCCCCACATCAGGCTCCCTGCTCAGTGGGGAGCCGGCTTCTCCCTTTCCCACTCCCCCTGCTTGTTCTGCCTGCTTGTGCTCTGTCAAATAAATAAATAAAAAATATTAAAAAAAACAAGCAACAGGGCGCCTGGGTGGCTCAGTTGGTTAAACGACTGCCTTTGGCTCAGGTCATGATCCTGGAGTCCCGGGATCGAGTCCCACATCGGGCTCCCTGCTCAGCGGGGAGTCTGCTTCTCCCTCTGACCCTCTTCCCTCTCGTGCTCTCTATCTCTCATTCTCTCTTTCTCAAATAAATAAATAAAATCTTAAAAAAAAAAAAAGCAACAAAAACACCTCCTTCCCCATATGTTCCTCATGATTGGTATTATAACCTTCAGGATAGACTATTCCCAGAAAGAAGTGAGGCACAAAAGGTCACATATTGTATGATTCCATTTATATGAATGTCCGGAATACATAAATCCATAGAGACGGAAAGCAGAGTAGTGGTTATCAGAAGCAGGGCTGGGAGGAATGGGAAAGACTGCTTAATGGGCAAGGGGTATCTTTCTGGAACTAGATAGTGGTAATGGTTGCACAACATTATGAATATACTAAATATCACTAGTGGTGAATTTTCTGTGTATTTTGCCACAATTTTTAAAATCTATTGAGGTGAAATTCACATGGCATAAAATTAACCGTTTTATAAAGTGAATCATTCAGTGATGAATTGTTTCCCTTATGTTGGGAATAATTGGGAAAATAATCCATCATTTCTGGGATAAATCCTACTTGATGATGGTGTATAATCCTGTTAATATGTTGTTGGATTGGATTTGCCTAGTATTTTGTTGAGGATTTTTGCATCTGCATTCATAAGGATATTATTCTGTGGTTTTGTTGTGTTTCTTTGTCTGCCTTTGGTATTAGGGTAACACAGGCCTCTGAGAATGAATTAGGAAGTATTCCCTCTTTTTTTTTTTTTAATTTAAGAAGGATTGGTGTTAATTCTTCTCTAAATATTCGGTAGAAGTCACTAGTGAAAGCCATCTAGGCCTGAACTTTTCTTTGTGGGTAGTTTTGAAATTACTAATTTGATCTCTATTTGTAGTAGATCTATTCAGAGTTTGTTTTTTTCTTGAGTCATTTCAGTAGTTTGTGTCTTTTTTGGAATTTGTCCATTTTTTAAAAAGATTTTATTTATTTATTTGATAGAGAGTGAGAGAGGGAACACAAACGGGGAGTGGGAGAGGGAGAAGCAGGCTTCCCGCTGAGCAGGGAGCCCGATGTGAGACTCGATCCCAGGACCCTGGGACCATGACCTGAGCCGAAGGCAGATGCTTAACAACTGAGCCACCCAGGTGCCCCTATAATCCTTTTTATTTCTGTAAGTTTGGTATTAATGTCCTCTCTTTCATTCCTGATTTTAGCAGCTTGAGTGCTCTTTTTTTTTCTTCATCAGTCTAGCTAAAGGTTTGTCAGTTTGGTTGATCTTTAAGAGAACCAACTTTTAGTTTTACTGATTTTTCTCTTATTTTTTTATTCTTATATTATTAAGTTACACTCTGATCCTGCTTTGAGTTTAGTTTTCTATTTCCATCTTTAAAGTGGAAAAATAGGTTATCAATTTGAAAACTTTCCTTTTAAACGTAGGCATTTGCAACTATAAACTTTCCTCTAAGCATCGCATTAGCTGCATCCCATAAGTGTCCATATGTTGTGTCTTTATTTGCATACAACTCAAAGTATTTTCCAATTTCCCCCATGGTTTCTTCTTTGATCTTTTGGTTATTTAGAAGTATGTTGTTTAATTTCCATATATTTGAGAATTTTCTAAATTTCTTTGTTATTTCTAGTTTTATTCCATTGTAATCAGAGAACAGACTTTGTCCTCTTTCAGTCTTTTTTATTAAATTTGCTGAGGCTTGTTTTTGGCCTAATATATGGTCTGTCCTGGAGAACAGTTCATGGGCAGTTGCATGGAGTATTCTGTAGATGTCTGCCAGGTCCCATTGATATAAATTATTTTTAACACTAACCACTGGTTTTTGGGGGACGCCTGGGTGGCTCAGTCAGTTGAGTGTCTGCCTTCGGCTCAGGTCATGATCCCAGGGTCCTAGGATTGAGGCCTGCATCAGGCTCCCTGCTCAACAGTAGGTCTGCTTCTCCCTATAGCTCTGTGATCTCTCTCATTCTCACTCTTTCTGTCAAATAAATTAAAAAAAAATTTTTTTAAGATTTTTATTTATTTGAGAGAGAGAGACACAGCAAGAGAGGGAACACAAGCAGGGGGAGAGGGAGAAGCAGGCTTCCTGCCGAGCAGGGAGCCTGATGCGGGGCTTGATCCCAGGATGCTGGGATCATGACCTGAGCCAAACACAGACTTAACAACTGAGCCACCCAAGCGCCCCCCGCAAAATTTTATTTTTATTTTTATTTTTTAAGATTTTTTTATTTATTAGAGAGATAGAGCAGGAACACAAGCAGGGGGAGTGGGAGAGGGAGAAGCAGGCCTCCTGCCAAGCAGGGAGCCTGATGTGGGGCTTGATCCCAGGACCCTGGGATCATAACCTGAGCTGAAGGCAGATGCCCAACGACTGAGCCACCCAGGTGCCCCCCAAATTTTTTTTTTTAAAGATTTTATTTATTTATTTGAGAGAGAGAATGAGAAATAGAGAGCACGAGAGGGAAGAGGGTCAGAGGGAGAAGCAGACTCCCTGCTGAGCAGGGAGCCCGATGCGGGACTCGATCCCGGGACTCCAGGATCATGACCTGAGCTGAAGGCAGTCGCTTAACCAACTGAGCCACCCAGGCGCCCAACCCCCCAAATTTTTTTAATTGAAAAAAAAAAACACTCGTTTTCTTTTTTCCTGCAAAATGTTTACTAATGTAAATGTAATTTATTTTTTTAAAGATTTATTTATTTATTTGAGAGCGAATGAGAGAGAGAGAGAGTACACGAGAGGGGGGAGGGTCAGAGGGAGAAGCAGGCTCCTTTGCTGAGCAAGGAGCCCGATGTGGGACTCGATCCCGGGACTCTGGGACCATGACCTGAGCCGAAGGCCGTCGCCCAACCAACTGAGCCACCCAGGGGCCCTAAATGTAATTTATTTAGTCATTCTCCTATTGTATATCACAGTACTTTCCATTTTTTCCAAAATATAAACAAAGCTGAAGTGAATGTATTTTGTATTTGAATATTTCTGTATAGACCTGGTTATTAATTTAGGATACATTCCCCAAAGTGGCACACTTTGGTTAGAGTATCTCAGCTTAAAGCTTCTGATGTATCTCATTAGATTGCCTTCCAGGAAGGTTTTATCCATTTTCTATTTTTTTTTTTTTAAGATTTTATTTATTTGACAGACAGCAAGAAAGGGAACACAAGCAGGGGGAGTGGGGGAGGGAGAAGCAGGATGTGGGGCTCAATCCCAGGACCCTGGGATCATGACCTGAGCCGAAGGCAGACGCTTAACGACTGAGCCACGCAGGTGCCCCGGTTTTGTCCATTTTCATTCCAATCATTAGTTCCAGAAAATTCAGGTTTCTCTGCATACCCACTAACACTGGGTATTATTGCTCATTTGGATCTTCTGCTACAGGCACTGTGGACATTTATCATTGTTACTGCCCAGCATCCATTCCTTTTTCTTCTGATAACAGTACCTCTAATTTCCTTTGGGAACCACACCTTCCAAACTCTCAATTTCAGTTTGTGGGGCCTGACATATTTCCCCAGCTCCAGGCATGGGCAAGTGACCATGCTTAGCTCATCAGTGTCTTGTGCATGGCCAGAGAGGAGTACGTGACCTCACCGGCCCAGTGAGAACCAACCCCTGGACTTTTCCTGAAACATTGAACAAGAATTCTCTTCTCCCCCTGAGTTGACTCAAGTAGTGGCATGTAAGCCTGAAGCTGGAGACCACAGGGAGAGGTCCTGCCTGAGAATGAAGCCTACACAAAAGAAAATAGCTAAGAGGTGGAGAAAGGAATGGCAGCATCTTGAGGAACATCATTTGAGAATTCCACTGGATCTAGCTTTATCTGAAGCAAGTCAACCTTCTTGAACTCCTTGGTTGTATAAGCTGATATAGTTACCATCATAATATTAATCAGTAGCAATAGTATTTTGCTTAAACTAGTTTGATTCTGTTTTGACTACCTACAGCAGAAATAATGCTGATGAATATGGGAACCTCCAGTGTGTCCCCTCAGGAGCTGCTGATCAGAATTCTCTGGAAAATTGCTGTGGAGTTATCAGTGCTGCCCCCCTAAAAAAGTTCCCCCTCTTCTCCCTCTAGCACTTAGTAAGACTGCTCTGCCTGTCCCCTCTGGTGTTAGATATAACTGTGTGAATTGCTTTGGCCAGTGCAATGTTACCAGAAGAGACCTGTATCACTCCCAGATAGGACTTTTAAGAATCTGTGCATGGTTTGTCACATTTGCTCTCCCCTGCCTCAGTGAACTTGGAAACCTGGATCTAGATGGATCACCTATTAGCTTGGTTCTTGAGTGACCACTATGAACAGAGACCCCTGCTGACCCACACTGGATGTGTAGTGTGAGTGAGAAAGATGTTTTCTTTGGGCTAAGCCACTGAGATGTTGTTTATTATCATAGAACCCAACCTAGCGTTTCTGAAACAATTCCCCTCGGGAAAAAATGAAGGATGTTTTTCATCAACCCAGTTATGTTTGCTGAGCCAACAGCTAGTCAGCAGGAAGGGCACATCCCAAAGCAGTCAGCTTGTTTTCATTTATCGTCTGTATCCCCCAGGCCCTTGACATCTGACAAGCAATTTCTTTTGTATCCTCCCAGAGGGAGAATTATTTTGTTTGGCAGATGGTTAAAGTTAGTCCTAGTTGGTATCTGGCCAGCTAATCCTGCCTACGGCACTGGGAGCATGTCCACTTAGGGCAAAGAGGAGGCATGGCCGGGTCAGATCCTTCTGCCCTGCCTGT